GGGATCTTTTGGGGTCTCTCTGGGGGTATTTTGGGGTCTCTCTGGGACTATTTTGGGGGTCTCTCTGGGGCTATTTTGGGGTCTCTCTGGGGCTATTTTGGGGGTCTCTCCGGGGGATTTTGGGGTCTCTCCAGGGTATTTTGGGGTCTCTCCAGGCGTATTTTGGGGGTCTCTCCGGGGCTATTTTGGGGGTCTCTCCGGGGGTCTTTTGGGGGTCTCTCCGGGCTGACCCCCGTCCCTCTCCCCACAGACGGGACCCCCTCCCGGCCCCGCCGCCCCCCCCGCTGCCCTCGGACGTCTCCTGCTTCCCGCGGGACTCCAAAGACCCCGGCCCGCCCCCGGCCGGCGACCACGGCGGGGTCCCGGCGCTGCCCGGCCCCTCGGGCTCCATCCCAGAGACCCTCCTGGTGGCCACGGGCGACGAGGTGGCCACGAACACGCCGGCTCTGCCCGAGGGAGCCCCCCCGACCCCCGCAGCCCCCGCGGGACCCCCGGCACCCCCGTCCCCGTCTCTGTTCATGCTGCGGCTGCCGCCCCGCGCCGGCTCGTACATCCAGAGCGAGCACAGCTACCAGGTGGGCAGCGCGCTGCTCTGGAAGCGCCGCGCCGAGGCCGCGCTGGACGCGCTGGACAAAGCCCAGAGGCAGCTCCAGGCCGGGAAACGCCGCGAGCAGCGGCTGCGGCTGCGCCTGGCCGAGCTGCAGAGGGAGCGCAGAGCGGGCCCCGAGCCGCGGAGGAGCTCCAAGGAGCGCCCGGAGCTGCTCGGAGATGCTGCAGGAGGAGGAGGAGGGCGGTGAGGAGTTGGAGGAGCTCCGAGGCTCGGAGGCGGCGCGGAGGTTTGTAAATAAAGGATTTTACCCTGCGGGTGCGGCTGGTGGAGCTCCAGGGGGAGGGGAGAGCGGGCTGAATCGCGGAGGAGCTCCAAGGAGCGGCCGGAGCTGCGGCGGGTGGAGCTCCAAAGGGAGCGGAGCTCCAGGAACCCGCGGATCTGCGGCGAGTGGAGCTCCAGGGGGAGAGGAGAGGGGTCTCCGAGCCGCGGAGGAGCTCCAAGGAGCGCCCGGAGCTGCGGCGGGTGGAGCTCCAGGGGGAGAGGAGAGGGGTCTCCGAGCCGCGGAGGAGCTCCAAGGAGGGGCCGGAGCTGCGGCGGGGGGAGCTCCAGGGGGAGAGGAGAGGGGTCTCCGAGCCGCGGAGGAGCTCCAAGGAGGGGCCGGAGCTGCGGCGGGGGGAGCTCCAGGGGGAGAGGAGAGGGGTCTCCGAGCCGCGGAGGAGCTCCAAGGAGCGCCCGGAGCTGCTCGGAGATGCTGCAGGAGGAGGGCGCTGGGGAGCTGGTGGAGCTCCGAGGCTCGGAGGCCGCGCGGGGGTTTGTAAATAAAGGATTTCCAATTTTCTGCGTGGGGTTTGTGGGGGTTTCTGGGGAAATGTGTGGAAATTTGTGGGGTTTTTAGGGGAAATTTGGGGAAATTTGTGGGGAAAATTTGTGGGGTTTGTAGGGAAATTAATTTATGGGGGTTTCTAGGGGAAATTCGTGGGGGTTTTATGGGGGTTTCTAGGCAAAATTTATGGGATTTTTAGGGGGAAATTTGTGGAATTTGTGGGGTTCGTAGGGGAAGGCTTAGGGAGAAATCATTTGGGGAGGGGCTGGAATGGAATCAGGATTGGGATTTCAGAGGAGCAGTGACATCACACTGGGAATGGGGAGATTTCAGTGGGAAATTGGGAAAAAATTCCCATTTTAGGGAATAACTTGGGAAACTGGGAAGATTCCAGTGGGATATTGGGAAGGAATTCCTAATTTAGGGAATTAGGTGGGAAATTGGGGAGATTTCAGTGAGATATTGGGAAAAAATTCCCAATTTAGAGATTCATTTGGGATATTGGGAAGGAATTCCCAATTTAGGGAATTAGGTGGGATATTGGAATTCTTCCCCGTGGGGTTGCTGAGGGGCTGGGATGGAATTCCCAGGATTTGTTCCCAATCAGAGCCCGGGGCAGGAACAGGACGAGGTTTTGGGGGCTCCAGATGGAACAAGGACAAAAATCTCCATCCCCCATTTGGAGCTGGGGCATCCCTGCCCCTTCCGGGGGGAAAACGGGGGAGTCCGACCCCAAAAACCTCAAACCCCCCAAATCCTTTGGCAGCCCAAAAATGGCAATTAAGGGTTTCATTTCCAGCACTGGGCTGGGTTAACACCAACTCCAAGGTGCTCCAAACCTCCCAAAGTGCCTGATTAGCCACTAATTAACCTTTGCTAATTACCTCAGGGCCATCAGCTCCCCAGGTCCACTGCGAATCCCAAAAAAGATCCAAATCCCCCAAATCCTTTGGCAGCCAAAGATGGGAATTAAGGGTTTCATTTCCAGCACTGGCCCAGGCTAACACCAACTGCAAGGTGTCTGATTAGCCCCGAATTAACCTTTGCTAATTACCCCGGGGCCATCAGCTCCCAGGGTCCACTGCCGAAGTGCTACAACCCCAAAAAAGACCCAAGTCCCCCAAATCCTTTGGCAGCCAAAAATGGGAATTAAGGGTTTCATTTCCAGCGTGGAGGTGCCAGCCCAGCTGACACCAAGTCCAAGGCGCTCCAAATTAGCCCCTAATTAGTCTTTGCTAATTCCCCTGGGGCCGTCAGCGCTCCGGGGCCACTGCGGAGCCCCCAGAGGAGCCGCTACAATCCCAAAAAGACTCAAAAATGGGAATTAAGGGTTTAATTTCCACCAAGTCCAAGGTGCTCCAGAACTGCCCAAAGTGCCTGATTAGCCCCTAATTAGCCTTTGCTAATTACCGCGGGCCGCTACAGCGCGAGCCTCCCATCCTGGATGTCCCGGAAGGCAGCGGCGCTCAGCGGCACGTAGGATCGGCGCGCGGCGTCGCGCAGGAAGAGCCGGTCCCGGACGAGGTTGGGGTCGAAGCCCTCCTTGACCAGGTTGCTCTTGCACTGCTTGAAGGTGCCCGTGATCTCCAGAGCGTCCTGGGGACAGGGGACAAACTGGGGGTGACTTGGGCCTGGGGGGACCCCCGTTGGCACCAGGTGAACTTCACTGGCACCAGGTGAACTTCACTGGCACCAGGTGACCCCCACTGGCACCAGGTGACCACCGTTGGCATGGGGTGACCCCCATTGGAACCAGGTGAACTTCGCTGGCACCACGTGACCATTGTTGGCACCAGGTGACCCCCATTGGAACCAGGTGAACTTCTCTGGCACCAGGTGACCCCCATTGGCACCAGATGACCATTGCTGGCACCAGGTGACCACCATTGGCACCACTGACCACCCTGTTGGCACTAGGTGACCCTTGTTGGCACCAGGTGACCATCACTGGCACCAGGTGACCACTGTTGGCACCAGGTGACCCCCATTGGCACCAGGTGACCCCTGTTGGAACAGGGTGACCCCCGTTAGCACCAGGTGCCCTTCATTGGTACAAGGTGACCCTCGTTGGCACTAGGTGACCCTTGTTGGCACCAGGTGACCATCACTGGCACCAGGGGACCCTTGTTGGCACCAGGTGACCCCCATTGAAACCAGGTGAACTTCGCTGGCACCAGGTGACCATCGTTGGCACCAGGTGACCATCACTGGCACCAGGGGACCCTTGTTGGCACCAGGTGACCCCCATTGAAACCAGGTGAACTTCGCTGGCACCAGGTGACCATCGTTGGCACCAGGTGACCATCACTGGCACCAGGTGACCACTGTTGGCACCAGGTGACCCCCATTGGCACCAGGTGACCCCTGTTGGAACAGGGTGACCCCCGTTAGCACCAGGTGACCTTCATTGGTACAAGGTGACCCTCGTTGGCACCAGGTGACCCTTGTTGGCATGGGGTGAACCCCATTGGCACCAGGTGACCATCGTTCGCACCAGGTGGACTTTGTTGGCACCAGGTGACCCTCACTGGCACCAGGTGACCCCCATTGGCACCAGGTGACCATTGTTGGCACCAGGTGACCCTTGTTGGCATGGGGTGACCCCCACTGGCATCAGGTGACCCCTGTTGGAACAGGGTGACCCCCGTTAGCACCAGGTGACCTTCATTGGTACAAGGTGACCCTCGTTGGCACCAGGTGACCCTTGTTGGCATGGGGTGACCCCCATTGAAACCAGGTGAACTTCGCTGGCACCAGGTGACCACCATTGGCACCAGGTGACCATCACTGGCACCAGGTGACCACCATTGGCACCACTGACCACCCTGTTAGCACCAGGTGACCCTTGTTGACATGGGATAACTCCCACTGGCACCAGGTGACCCCTGTTGGAACAGGGTGACCCCCGTTAGCACCAGGTGACCTTCGTTGACACAAGGTGACTCTCAGTGGCACCAGGTGACCCCCACTGGCACCACTGACCACCCTGTTGGCACTAGGTGACCTTTGTTGGCACCAGGTGACCCTCAGTGGCACCAGGTGACCCACAGTGGCACCAGGTGACCGTTGTTGGCAGGGGGTGACCCCTGTTGGCACCAGGTGACCATCACTGGCACCAGGTGACCCCTGTTGACACAGGGTGGCCACCACTGTCATGGCAAAGGGGGGAACCTCAACACCCTCATCGGGACGATGCCGTCATCGGCACAGGGTGACCCTGAGTGACCGTCACTGGGAATGGACAGGTCAGGAATGGTGACACCAGGAACGGTGCCACCATCAAGGGGGTGACTGCCCCACAATGTCACCAGAGCACCCCCAGCGCCGTTACTGGCACAGGGTGACCAATGCCACCGTGGGAAACTGGGGGGACACCAGTGCTGTGACTGGAACTGGAGGAGCTCTGAACTGAAGACCCCCTCCAACCCAAACCCTTCCATGATTCCACCTGGCCATGGCCAGATCTGGATAAACTCTTAATGCCTCTTCTGACCCAAACCCTTCCATGATTCCACCTGGCCATGGCCAGATCTGGATAAACTCTTAATGCCTCTTCCAACCAAACCATTCCATGATTCCACCCTTCCATGATGGAACTGGAGGAGCTCTGAAGTCTTCTCCAATCCAAACCACTCCATGATTCCACCTGGCCATGCCAGAACTGGAGGAGCTCTGAAGACCCCTCCAACCCAAACCACTCCATGATTCCTGGTAGGATGGAACTGGAGGAGCTCTGAAGACCCTTCCAACCCAAACCATTCCACGATTCCATCCTGCCATGATGGAACTGGAGGAGCCCTCATGTCTTCTCCAACCCAAACCATTCCAAGATTCCCCCTGGCCGTGACTGGGTGCTCCAGTGCTGGACCATCTCCATCCCAAGGCCAGCCCCACCACCCCGAAGCTCCCAGGAGCCCCCGGGGGGGGAGGGTCCCGCTGACCTGGATCCGGATGAAGCGGGGGGCGGCGTAGGCGGGCAGCGTGTCCTGCGTGAAGGCGTAGAGTTTGTCACCGTCGAAGGTGGCCCCGTCCTTGAGGCGCACGGCGGCCATGCCACAGCGGCCCTCGCACCCTGCCAACATTGCCTGGGGTCACCTGGGGCAACCCCAACTCCTTGGGGACTTCTTGAGTCCCCCTGGGCTACTGGGGGGGGGGGGTGTGGGGTGGCCAAACGTGTTTTGGGTGGGTTTGTCCCAGTTTTGGCACCGCGGAGGCCGCTGGGATGGTGGTGGAGGCACGTCCTGTGCCCAGAACCATTCTGGGTGCTCATTTTGGGTGAACACTCCCTATTTTTGCCTCTTTGTGGCCACATTGACCCAACCCAGCACCTGACACTCGCTTTGGGCAACCAACTCCCATTTTCACCGTTTTGGGGGATCTTTGGGCTGTTGTGGGGGATGTTTCATGCTCAAAACAACTCTGGATGTAAAACACCTTTTGAACCTTCTTGGTGGTGGCTGAGACCACCTGGGGACGCCTCACCCACCTCAAACACCCCCATGTCCTTGGTGGCACTCACCCGGAACGGCCACGCCGTAGACGTTGACCTCCTGGATGAAGCTCACCAAGCCCAGCGTGGCCTCCACCTCCGTCGTGGCCACGTTCTCCCCTTTCCACCTGGGGAGGAGAAGGGACGGAGCCGTGAGCAGGGATTTGGGCCGGCACCGACCGCTCGGACACGCGGGAGCCCCGGAGTTACCGGAAGGTGTCCCCGACACGGTCCTGGAAGTAGATGAACTTCTGGCTGTCCATCATGAGGAGGTCGCCGCTGTTGAAGAAGGCGTCGCCTTTGGCCAAGACGTCCCTCAGGATCTTCTTCTCGGTCTTCTGCGAGTCGCCGGCGTAGCCGTGGAACGGGGTGTTCTTGGTGATCTTGATCACCAGCAGCCCCGTCTCACCTTCGGGGAGGAAGAGGAGGCTTGGAGGCTGCCCAACCCCTGCCTTGGCTTCTTCCAGGGGTTCCTGGCGGCTTCTGCTCACCAGGAGGGTGGTGGCCAGGGCTGAGAGGTGGTTTTGGTGCATCTCCAGCCCCCGAGAGAGCCCTTACCGGGTTTGGTGGGGATGCAGAGCCCCCGCTCGTCGCGCACGGGCTCGTCCTGCTCCACGTTGTACCTGATGAGCTCGAAGGGAGCGAAGAGCTGCAGGGGAGGGACAAACCTGGGCTTAGAAACAGGCAGGAGGATTTCCTTCCCGTGGAAATTTCCAGAATTTCCTTCCCATGGATATTTTCAGCATTTCCTTCCCATGGTCATTTCCAGAATTTCTCTCCTTTGGAAGTATCCAGAATTTCCTTCCCGTGGAGATTTCCAGCATTTCCTTCTGGTGGAAATTGCCAGAATTTCCATCCTGTGGAGATTTCCAGAATTTCCTTCCCATGGAGATTTCCAGCATTTCCTTCCCGTGGAAATTTCCTTCTTGTGGAAATTTCCAGAATTTCCTTACCATGGAAACGTCCAGAATTTCCTTCCCGTTCCAGGTGTGGTCTGCTGTGATTGGTCTGTTCCAACCCACGGAACACCCCCAATCCCGACATTTTGGGCGTTAAAAACCATTTGGGTTTAATTGTCCTTAATTTAAAGTTTTTTAGTTGAAATCACTAAAATTAAATCTGATTTAAAGTTGTTCAAATAAGGTTCGATCTGATCCATTCTAACGGCAAATGAACTCATGGTGGCATCTTCCAAATCCAGGAGCTGGGGGATGACACGATGGGGAAGAAGGGAGGAAAATCTGATTTTCGCAGCTTTTGCTCCATCCAAGCTTTTGCTCAAAAATCTCATTTTTGCAGCTTTTTCTCAACAGGTGGCTGGGGGCGGAGACGTGGCACCAAAGGGCCACAGAGATGACCAGGTCCCCATGGACACCCCAAAATCAGGCTGCACGTCAACACTGTTGCGTCAGTGTTGGCCAACCAGGTGGAGGGGACTCATTTTGGGTGTGAAAATGGCGTTCTGGGGACTCTGCTGTTGTCCAGCCCATCCTGACGGATACTGTTGGCTTCCCCTGGAGATGTCACTGTTTGCTCCACCACCAAGAGGTTCATCCAAGACTCAACCAAGGCTTAACCTTTCCTTGGCTGAACCCCAACTGGAGGAGCCACGTTGGGCCCCTCAATGCGCCGGTGTTGTCCCCACCTCCCACCCCGAGGAGGACGTTCTGTTCTCACCTTGACGAACCTGTTGGCCCTGCCCACGGCCCCGACCTTGCCGGTGTAGTTGATGAAGCCGGCGTTGCCCTCGGTGGCTCCGTAGAACTCACAGACGGCCACGGGCCCGAAGCGCTGCAGGAACTCCTTCCACACCTCCGCCCTCAGGCCGTTGCCCAGGGCCATGCGCACGCCGTGCTCCCGGTCATCGGCACGCTGGGGGTGACATGGGGACAGGGCCACCTCGGGGTGTGACCGGAGCGTCACTGACCACTCAGGGGGGAGGTTGGGGTGGGCGGGGCCTCACCTTGGGCGTGTTGCACAGGTAGCGCATGAGCTCGCCCACGTACTGGATGACGGAGACGTTGTAGCGCCGGCAGTCGGGCCAGAACTGAGAGGCCGAGAACTTGGCCCGCAGGACGCAGGTGGCTCCTGGGGACATGGCACAGGGATGGTGACCCCGAGGCTTTTATCTTTTGTCCTTGTCTCCATCCATCCAGCCATCCATCTATCATCCATCCATCCATCCGTCCATCCATCCATCCATCCGTCCATCCATCCATCCATCCGTCCATCCATCCATCCATCCGTCCATCCATCCATCCATCCGTCCATCCATCCATCCATCCGTCCATCCATCCATCCATCCGTCCATCCATCCATCCATCCGTCCATCCATCCATCCATCCGTCCATCCATCCATCCATCCGTCCATCCATCCATCCATCCGTCCATCCATCCATCCATCCGTCCATCCATCCATCCATCCGTCCATCCATCCATCCATCCGTCCATCCATCCATCCATCCGTCCATCCATCCATCCATCCGTCCATCCATCCATCCATCCGTCCATCCATCCATCCATCCGTCCATCCATCCATCCATCCGTCCATCCATCCATCCATCCGTCCATCCATCCATCCATCCGTCCATCCATCCATCCATCCGTCCATCCATCCATCCATCCGTCCATCCATCCATCCATCCGTCCATCCATCCATCCATCCGTCCATCCATCCATCCATCCGTCCATCCATCCATCCATCCGTCCATCCATCCATCCATCCGTCCATCCATCCATCCATCCGTCCATCCATCCATCCATCCGTCCATCCATCCATCCATCCGTCCATCCATCCATCCATCCGTCCATCCATCCATCCATCCGTCCATCCATCCATCCATCCGTCCATCCATCCATCCATCCGTCCATCCATCCATCCATCCGTCCATCCATCCATCCATCCGTCCATCCATCCATCCATCCGTCCATCCATCCATCCATCCGTCCATCCATCCATCCATCCGTCCATCCATCCATCCATCCGTCCATCCATCCATCCATCCGTCCATCCATCCATCCATCCGTCCATCCATCCATCCATCCGTCCATCCATCCATCCATCCGTCCATCCATCCATCCATCCGTCCATCCATCCATCCATCCGTCCATCCATCCATCCATCCGTCCATCCATCCATCCATCCGTCCATCCATCCATCCATCCGTCCATCCATCCATCCATCCGTCCATCCATCCATCCATCCGTCCATCCATCCATCCATCCGTCCATCCATCCATCCATCCGTCCATCCATCCATCCATCCGTCCATCCATCCATCCATCCGTCCATCCATCCATCCATCCGTCCATCCATCCATCCATCCGTCCATCCATCCATCCATCCGTCCATCCATCCATCCATCCGTCCATCCATCCATCCATCCTCCATCCATCCATCATCCATCCATCCATCCCGTCCATCTGTCCGACCCTCCCTCCATGGCCTTGGTTTTGGGGTCCGTACCGACGTCCAGGCACCCCCCGAGCCCCACCAGCAGCCCGGCCGAGTGGTAGAGCGGCAGCGTGGTGTAGACGACGTCGTCGGGCCGCAGGCCGCACATGCGGGCCAGGCTGGCCACCATCATCAGCTTCATCTCCGTGATCACCGCGGCCTTGGGCAGCCCTGAGGGGACAACGGCTGGGTGGGACACACTCCTGGGGGGTCTTGGGGGGTCCTGGGGTGGACAGTGGGGGTCTCTGCCACTGGGGTCTTTGTCCCTTGTTGGAGGAACCGTGAGGATCCTCGTCCAGCTTCATCCAGTCCATCCACGGGCACAGGGCACACCTGGCCCAGGTGGACCTGAGAGGTCATGGCTGGAGAAAGACCTCCCAAGACCCCTCCAGTGCTGACCTGCCTGTGTGGACACCTGGCCCAGGTGGACCCACAATGGTCAGGGGTGCAGAAAGACCCCCAAGACCCCACCAATGTTCATCCACCCGCACAGACATTGCCAGCACACACCTGGCCCAGGTGGACCCACAATGGTCAGGGTTGCAGAAAGACCCCCAAGACCCCTTCCATCAATGCTGACCCACCCACATGGACACAGCTGGGACACACCTGGCCCAGGTGGATCCATGATGGTCAGCATTGCAGGAGCCCTCCAAGCTGCCCATGTGTGTACACAGCCGGGACACACCTGGCCCAGGTGGATCCATGATGGTCAGCACTGCAGGAAGCCCCCCAAGAACCCTCCAAGCTGCCCATGTGCGCACACAGCCAGGACACACCTGGCCCAGGTGGACCCACGATGGTCAGGGCTGGAAGAAGGTCCCCCAAGATCCCTTCCATCAGTGCTGACCCACCCGCACAGACATGGCCAGGACACACCTGGCCCAGGTGGACCCACGATGGTCAGGGCTGCAGAAAGCCCCCCAAGCCCCTCCAAGGTGCCCACCCCTGCGAGCCCCCGAGCCCCGAGGGGGCCCAGCTCACCGGTGGTGCCTGAGGTGTAGATGTACATGGCCTTGGAGTTGGCGGTGACGCCGGCGCGGTGCACGGCAGGCGGCGGCTCCTCGGGCGCCGCCTCGATGGCGGGCAGCAGTGCCTCTACGCCCGGCGTGGGCGACACCGCGCTCAGGTAGAAAACAGCGACGCCGGCGCGCCGCAGGTCAGGCAGAACCTCCTCCACGGCCTCGTGGAGCTCTGCGGGGACAGACGGACACGGAGGTGACCCTACATGGGCACCTGGTCAGGTGGGCACACCCAGAATGGGTGGGTGGGCCAAGGTTCCCAGGTGGGCACCTCAGTGTACCCCCAAATGTGCACCTGGTCAGGTGGGCACCCCCACAATCATGGGTAGGTTGAGGTTCCCAGCTGGGCACCCTAAGGTACCCCCACATGGGCACCTGGTCAGGTGGACACCCTGGAATCAAGGATGGGGGTCCAAGGTTCTCAGGTGGGTACCCTAAGGTATCCTAAATGGGCACCTGGTCAGGTGGGCACCACACCCACCCCAAATGTGAGCCCTGGTGCCGTGGGCACCCCAAAACCCAGGATGGGCACCAAAGGGCCCCGGGCACCCAGAGGGTTCTGGGCAGGAGCCTGGGAGGGCACCCAGAGCACCCCAAAATGGCTCCATGACCCCCTGAGAACCCCAAACCTCCCTGAGGGGCTCCCTGAGCAGCCCAAAAGGGGGTCCCTGACTGCCCAGACACCCCACACACCCCGAGGGGCACCCTGAGCACCCCAAAAGCGCGTCCTGCAATCCCCCCAGACACCCCCCATATCCTGAGGGGCACCCTGAGCACCCCGAAAAGGGGTCCTGTGCCCCCCCCAGACACCCCAGACACCCTGACCACCCCGAAAAGGGGTCCTGTGCCCCCAGACACCCCAAACCTGCCCAAGGAGGCTCCAAGCACCCAAAAATGGGGCTCCTGTGCCTCCTCCAGACACCCCACACACCCTGAGCACCCCAAAAGGGGGGTCCCGGCCAGCCAGGCCCCCTCAGTGATCCTAAACGGGGTCACCCCAAGGGAGCCCCGATCCCATGGGTGCACCTGGGGGTCACACACAGGGACAGCCCTGTCCAGGCTGTGGCACACAGGAAGAGACCCTGTACAGGCTGTGGCACACACAGAGACAGTGACACACACAGGGACAGTGACAAACACAGGGACAGTGATACACTCAGGGACACACTCAGGGACAGCCCTGTCCAGGCTGTGGCACACAGGAAGGGACAGTGACACACACAGAGGGACAGTGACACACACATGGGGACAGTGACACACACATGGGGACAGTGACACACACAGAGGGACAGTGACACACACAGGGACAGCCATGTACAGGCTGTGGCACACAGGAAGAGACAGTGTCACACACAGAGGGACAGTGACACAGCGACACACACACGGGGACAGTGACACAGAGTGATACACACACAGGGACAGTCACACACACACAAAGGGACAGTCACAGTGACACACACACAGGGACAGTGACACACGTGCCAATCCTCCCACCCCACTGAGTGCACTCACTGGGGCTGGCACAGACCAGGGTTGCCTTGGTGGCCACAATGCCACCAAGTCCCCAAACCCCCCCAAATGCCACAGTGTCCCCTCTCACTGGGACTGGCCAGCACCATGGAGGCCTTGGTGGCCACCAAGCCCCCCGAACACTGCGCTGTCCCCTCTCACCAGGGCTGGCCAGCAGCACGGTGGCCTCGGCCGCCTCCAGCGCGTGCCGCAGGGCCCGGCCCCTGACGTTGCAGTTGAGACAAGCCATGGGGCAACCCAACTTGGCCAACGCCAGCCACGTCCACAGGTAGGCCGGCTCGTTGGGCAGGAACACGGCCACCGTGCGGCCGCCGCGCGGCCCCAGGCGCCGCGACAGGGCCCAGGCGGCGCGGTTGCTGCGGCGCTCCATGTCCTCGAAGGTGTAGACCTCGTCCTGGAAGAGCAGCAGCGGCCGGCGCGGCCGGAGCCGGGCGTGCTGCCGGAACACGTCCAGCAGGGTGGTGGCCGGCCGGCCGGCCAGGCGCCGGCGGCAACGCAGCGATGCCCTCGCCATGGTGGTGAAGAACGCCAGGTCCTCCCACAGGAACGGCACCAAGCGGGCTGCGGCCGCTGGAACCAGGACCAGCAGCACGGCCACCAAGGCCACCAGGGCCGGCAGCACCGCCATGGCCACCAGCGCTGCGGGGCCGGTGGCCAAGGTCCGCCGGGTGACCTTTGGGCTGCGGTGGCGGCGGTGCCGAGGTCCGGAGGTCGCCGCTCTTTGGTTTGTGCTCTCTGTTTGCTTTCCTTCCTTCTTTCCGATTGTTTTGTTCCCTTCGGCCTTCCCCGCCCCCGGGAGTGGCTCCGCAGGCAGCGGCTGCCACGGCCCGGTGGCTCTGCCTGCCCGGCCGTCTGTCTGTCCAGCTGGCTGTCTGTCCAGCTGTCCAGCTCTCTGGCTGACTGGCTGGCTGTCTGTCCGGCTGTCCAGCCTCTGTCCAGCCATCCACTCTCTGCCAGCCTGGCTGTCCTTCTGTCTGGCCTCTGCCGGCCTGGCTGTCCATCTGTCCGGCCTCTGTCCGGCTATCCAGCCTCTGCCTGTCCGGCTGTCCAGCTGTCCGGCTGAGCCTCTGTCCAGCCATCCAGCAAGTGCCACCGCATATGTCCATTTGTCTGGCCTCTGCCAGCCTGGCTGTCCATCTGGGACACCCCAGGGACACCCCGGGGAACCTCAGGGACACCCCCAAAGCAGGGGCCCCCCGGGGACACCCCGAAGCAGGGACACCTCAGGGATACCCCAAGGACACGTCAGGAACGCCCCTGGTACAACCCCAAAGCAGTGATACCCCGGGGAACCTCGGGGAAACCCCAAAGCAGGAGCATCCCGGGGATAACCCCAAAGCAGGGACACCCCGGGAACACTTCAATGACACCCCAGGGGACACCCCAGGCCGGGGGTTGGGCGGTGCGGCCCGCAAAAGGGAGGCGCAGGTCCCACCGAGATTCGAACTCGGATCGCTGGATTCAGAGTCCAGAGTGCTCACCATTACACCATGGGACCGCCCGGGACGCTCCGCCCCGCTCCCTCCGCCAGGAAAAAGAGACCGCGGGCCGCCCCTGCGGGAGGGGGCGGAGAAACCTCCGGAGCGGGCTGGGAAAAGAGGAAAAGGGTGAAAAGGGGAAAAAAGGGGAAAAAAGAGAAAAAAGGGGAGGGGAAGGAAAAAAATAGGAAAAAGAAAAGAGGAAAAGGAGATTCGCCCGAACAGGGACTTGAACCCTGGACCCTCAGATTAAAAGTCTGATGCTCTACCGACTGAGCTATCCGGGCTCCGGTGGGGAGCACCGCGGGCCGCAAGTAAGGCGGGTTTGGGGAAAAACCGAGTGGATTTGGGGGAAAAACGAGTGGATTTGGGGAGAAACCCGAGGATTTGGGGGAAAATCGAGCGGTTTTAGGGAAAAACCGTGGGGTTTGGGGGAAAGAGCCGAGTACTTGGGGGAAAAAATCGAGAGGTTGTAGGGAAAAGCCCGAGGTTTTAGGGAAAAAACCTCGAGGTTTTAAGGAAAAACCCTGAAGTTTTGGGGGAAAAAACCCCCAGATTTTAGGGAGAAACCCGAGGTTTTAGGGAGAAACCCGAGCTTTTGGAGAGGAACCCGAGCTTTCAGGGCGAAACCCGAGGTTTTCGGGGATGTTTTTTTTCGGATTGGGGCAGGAAGGCGGCAGAGTTCGGCGGGGCTGCCCCAGACAGAGAACGGAATGTGGAATTGGAGATTTTTTGGTCCAATTTAACCGCAAACGCCCTCAGCTTTCCCCACAAACGCATTTCCGAGCAGGGGAATAGAGAAATTACTTAATTTGGGTTTTTCCCAAAAAAACCCAAGAGGGGTTTGTTGCCTTCCTGCTCCACGAGTGAGGGATTTCCGGGGTTTACTCCAAAATAACTTTTTTACTATTACTACTACTAATACTGCCATTATTAATAATAATAACAGTAATTATGGTAATAACAAGGAAAATAATAATTTTAAATTGGTATAATAAAAATAAAATATAATATATAATAATATAGCAATATAATAATATATACATCTACTAGCATAATAATAATAATAATAATAATAATAATAATAATAATTATTATTATTATTATTATTATTATTATTATTATTATTATTATTATTATTATTGTTATTATTATTATTATTGTTATTATTATTATTATTATTATTAATCCCCACAAGGACCACTGGTGCACAGGCCCTTGCCAGAGGCCGCTCATCATGGACTGATAACATTTCCCAACATTTTCACCCTCACATTTCCCATTTTTTACCTCATGCTTCCTGGTTTTTTCACCCTCATGTTTCCTGACATTTTCACTCTCACGTTTCCCATTTTTTACCCCACATTTTCCACCTCTTTCCCCCTCTTATTTCCCATTTTTCCCCCTCACTTTTCCAATTTTTTGCCTCACGTTTTCCACCCTCTTTCCCCCTCACATTTCCCAACACTTTCTTCCTTCATGTTTCCCACCATTTTCACCCTTTTATTTCCCACTTTTTACCTCACGTTTTCTGGGTTTTCCCCCCCTTACGTTTCCTGCCATATTCACCCTCGTATTTCTCATTTTTTACCTCACATTTTCCACCTTCTTTCCCCCTCTCGTTTCCCATTTTTTACCTCACATTTTCCACCCTTTTCCCCCCTCACATTTCCTGACATTTTCACCCTCACATTTCCCACCATTATCACCCCCTTATTTCCCATTTTTTTACCTCACATTTTCAGGCCTTTTCCCCCCTCATTTTTCCCACTATTTTCACACTCTTGTCGTTTTATACCTTTTGTTTTCCACCCTCTTTCCCCCGCACGTTTCCCATTTTTTACCTCATATTTTCCACCCTCTTTCCCCTTCACATTTCCTGCCATTTTCACCCTCACATTTCCCATTTTTTACCTCACATTTTACACCCTTTCCCCCCCTCACATTTCCCAGAATTTTCTCCCCTCATGCTTCCCCCCATTTCCACCCTCTTATTTCTCATTTTTTACCTCATGTTTCCCGCCCTTTCCCCCCCTCATGTTTCCTGACATTTTCACCCTCACGTTTCCCAGAATTTTCTCCCCTCATGCTTCCCACCATTTCCACCCTCTTATTTCTCTTTTTTTACCTCACGTTTTCCACCCTCTTTCTCCCTCATATTTTCCCTTTTCTTACCTCACGTTTTCCACCTTTTTTCCTCCCTTCATGTATCACGTTCTTCTCCCCTCACGTTTCCTGCCCTTTTCTCCCCTCATGGTTCCCCCCATTTTCACCCCCACATTTCCCATTTTTTACCTCACATTTTACACCCTCACATTTCCCACCATTTTCTCCCCTCATGTTTCCTGCTTTTTCCTCTCACTTTCCCATCCTTTTCCCCCTCACGTTTCCTATTTTTTACCTCACCTTTCCTGCCCTTCTCCCCTAATATTTCACACCCTTTCCCCCTCACGTTTTCCCACCATTTTTTCCTCTCAAATTCCCCCCCTTTTTCCCTCTCACGTTTCCCACTCTTTTTTCCCCTCACATTTTCTGCCATTTTCCCCCTCATGTTTCCCCTCCATTTTCCCCCCTCACGTTTCCCTCCATTTTCTCTCCTCACGTTTCCCACCCATTTTCCCCTCACATGTCCCATTTTTTTACCTCACATTTCCTACCATTTTCTCCCCTCATGTTTCCCACTCTTTTTGCCCCTCACATTCCCTGCCTTTTTGACCTCTCATGTTTCCCACCCATTTTTCCCTCACATTTCCTTTTTTCCTCATGTTTCCCAGTTTTTCCCCTCATGTTTCCTATTTTTTACCACTTTTCCTCCATTTTCTCCCCTCACGTTTCCAGCTCTTTTTCCTCTCACATTTCCCACCCATTTTCCCCTCACATTTCCCATTTTTTGCCTCACCTTTTCTGCCTTTTCCCCCTCACATTTTCCATTTTTTACCTCACCTTTTCTGCCCTTTCCCCCTCACATTTCCCTCTTTTGTCCCCTCACATTTCCCACCATTATTCCCTCTCACATTTCTCACCCTTTTTTTCCCTCATGTTTCCCATTTTTTGCCTCATTTTTTCTGCCCTTTTCTGCTCATGTTTCACACCCTTTCCCCCATGTTTCCCACCATTTTCCCCTCACATTTCTCACCCATTTTCCCCTCACATTTCCGACCCATTTTCCCTCACATTTCCCATTTCCCCCTCACATTTCCCATCATTTTCTCCCCTCATGTTTCCCTCCATTTTCTCCCCTCAAGTTTCCAGCTTTTTCCTCTCACATTTCCCACCCGTTTTTCACTCATATTTCCCATTTTTAGCCTCATCTTTTCTGCCCTTTCCCCCTCACGTTTCCCTCCATTTTCTTCCCTCACATTTCCCGCTCTTTTCTCCACTCACATTTCCCATCATTTTTCCTCTCACATTTCTCACTCTTTTTTTCCTTTATCTTTCCCATTTTTTACCTCACTTTTCCCACCCTTTCCCCCTCACTTTTCTCACCCATTTTCCCCTCATGTTTCCCATTTTTTCTGCCCTTTTCCCCCTCATGCTTCCCTCCATTTTCTCCCCTCACATTTCCCGCTCTTTTCTTTCCTTATGTTTTCCACCCATTTCCCCCTCGTGTTTCCCACTTTTTTCCTCACATTTCCCACTCTTTTCTCCCCTAATAATTCCCACCATTTTCCCCCCATCACGTTCCCCTCCATTTTCTCCCCTCACTTTTTCCACTCTATTCTCCCCTCATGTTTCCCTCTTTTTCCTCTCACATTTCCACCCTTTTGTCCCTCACTTTTCCCATTTTTTCCCTTATTTCCTAGTTTTTTCTCTCATGTTTCCCTAATTTTTACTTCACATTTCCCTCCATTTCCCCTCCTCACATTTCCCACCATTTTCTCCCCTCACTTTTTCCACTCTATTCTCCCCTCATGTTTCCCTCTTTTTCCTCTCACATTTTCTGCCTTTTTTTTCCTTTATCTTTCCCATTTTTTGCCTCACCTTTTCTGCCCTTTTCTCCCTCATGTTTCCCACCCACAAATTTGGATTTCCCTCTCAAGTCTTCCACTCCTGCTGGGTGTCCCCGTGTCCATCCACACCGCTGTCACCTTGGGTTAGGGGATAATTGGTACAAAAAATTTTCAAGGGAAAGGTTAGGGATACAGTTGGGGTTAGGGTTAGGGTCAGGTTTTGGGTTTGGGTTAGGGTCGGTGAATATTTGAAATATTAAAATGAGAATTATTTGAATATTTAACCTGGAATTTAATTTTAAAATGTGAATATTTCAAAGTGTTTGGGCTAGGGCATAATTGGAGTTTTAAAATGAGAATTATTTGAATGTATAACTGGAAATTTATTTTTAAACACAAATATTCCACAGGTCCCTCCCTGGCGATTTCAAACCCTCACAGGGCGGATCCCCAGGCTATTCCCACCAGATCCTGGCCTGAAGAACGGGAAAAGATTCCCAGAAATTTTCAAGGGAAGGGATCCCAGGAGCTGCTTCTCCTCGGCGTCGAAGAACTCGAGCACGCGCCGCTCCTGGTCCAGCAGCACCCCGAGCACGCGGCAACGCCCGAAATTCCTCTCCAGCTTCCCCCCTGGCAGCCGGAATTCTCCCTGGGAATACTGCAGCCCTGGTGCCGCCTCCTCCGGGATGGAGGGGAGGGAATCATCCCCCACGGAATCATCCCGCAGGGGATCCGGGATGGAATTCGGGATGGGATTTGGGATGGGATCCGGGATGGGATCTGTGATGGAATTCGGGATGGGATTTGGGATGGGATCCGGGATGGAATTTGGGATAGGATCCGGGATGGGATCCATGATGGGATCCGGGATGGGATTTGGGATAGGATCCGGGATGGGATCCGGGATGGGATCCAGGGTGATATCTGGGATGGAATTCGGGATGGAATTTGGGATAGGATCCGAGATGGGATCCATGATGGAATTCGGGATAGGATCCGGGATGTGATCTGGGATGGGATCCGGGATGGGATCCAGGATGGAATTCGGGATGGGATCCTGGATGGAATTTGGGATAGGATCCGGCATGGAATTTGGGATGGGATCCAGGATGGGATCCGGGATGGAATTTGGGATAGGATCCGGGATGGGATCCATGATGGAATTTGGGATGGGATCCAGGATGGAATTTGGGATGGGATCCGGGATGGAATTTGGGATAGGATCCGGGATGGGATCCATGATGGAATTCGGGATGGGATCCAGGGTGGGATCTGGGATGGAATTCAGGATGGGATCCGGGATGGAATCCTGAAGGGAATCCGGGAGCACACCGCTGTCACCTTGGGTTAGGGGATAATTGGTACAAAAAATTTTCAAGGGAAAGGTTAGGGATACAGTTGGGGTTAGGGTTAGGGTCAGGTTTTGGGTTTGGGTTAGGGTCGGTGAATATTTGAAATATTAAAATGAGAATTATTTGAATATTTAACCTGGAATTTAATTTTAAAATGTGAATATTTCAAAGTGTTTGGGCTAGGGCATAATTGGAGTTTTAAAATGAGAATTATTTGAATGTATAACTGGAAATTTATTTTTAAACACAAATATTCCACAGGTCCCTCCCTGGCGATTTCAAACCCTCACAGGGCGGATCCCCAGGCTATTCCCACCAGATCCTGGCCTGAAGAACGGGAAAAGATTCCCAGAAATTTTCAAGGGAAGGGATCCCAGGAGCTGCTTCTCCTCGGCGTCGAAGAACTCGAGCACGCGCCGCTCCTGGTCCAGCAGCACCCCGAGCACGCGGCAACGCCCGAAATTCCTCTCCAGCTTCCCCCCTGGCAGCCGGAATTCTCCCTGGGAATACTGCAGCCCTGGTGCCGCCTCCTCCGGGATGGAGGGGAGGGAATCATCCCCCACGGAATCATCCCGCAGGGGATCCGGGATGGAATTCGGGATGGGATTTGGGATGGGATCCGGGATGGGATCTGTGATGGAATTCGGGATGGGATTTGGGATGGGATCCGGGATGGAATTTGGGATAGGATCCGGGATGGGATCCATGATGGGATCCGGGATGGGATTTGGGATAGGATCCGGGATGGGATCCAGGATGGAATTCGGGATGGGATCCTGGATGGAATTTGGGATAGGATCCGGCATGGAATTTGGGATGGGATCCAGGATGGGATCCGGGATGGAATTTGGGATAGGATCCGGGATGGGATCCATGATGGAATTTGGGATGGGATCCAGGATGGAATTTGGGATGGGATCCGGGATGGAATTTGGGATAGGATCCGGGATGGGATCCATGATGGAATTCGGGATGGGATCCAGGGTGGGATCTGGGATGGAATTCAGGATGGGATCCGGGATGGAATCCTGAAGGGAATCCGGGATGGGATCTGGGATGGGATCCCGCAGGGAATCCGGGATGGGATCTAGGATGGACTTTGGGGTGGAGTTTGGGATGGAATCCAGAATGGAATTTGAGATGGAATTCAGGATGGGATCCAGGGTGGAATCCTGCAGGGAATCCGGGGTGGAATTCGGGATGGGATCCCGCAGGGAATCCCGCAGGGAATCCCGGACCTCCTCGCGGAGCACGCCCAGCTCCCAGGCGCTGCCGTCTCCCAGCTCCACTTCCCAGTAGTGCTTCCCGCAGGAAAATCCCTCCTGCGCCACGGCCAGGGCCTGGGGGTGGGGCCGGGATCCGGGATCGGGGCCAAGGATCTGGGATGGGCCCCGGATCAGCAGCGCCGGGGGCGTGCAGCACTCGTCCAGCGACAGCGAGACTGCGGGAGAGCGCGGGATAGCGTTTGATAGCGTTTGATAGTGTGTGATAGCGTTTGATAGCGTTTGATAACGTGTGATAGGGTTTGATAGCGTTTGATAGCGTGTGATAGTGTTTGATAGCGTTTGATAGTGTGTGGTAGCATTTGATGGGGTTTGATAGCGTTTGATAGTGTTTGATAGTGTTTGATAGTGTGTGGTAGCATTTGATGGGGTTTGATAGGGTTTGATAGCGCTTCATAGGGTTTGATAGCGTGTGGTAGCGTTTGATAGTGTTTGATAGCATGTGATAACCTGTGGTAGCGTTTGATAGCGTTTGATAGTGCTTGATAGCATTTGATAGCGTTTGATAGGGTTTGATAGCATGTGATAGGGTTTGATAGGGTTTTATAGTGTGTGATAGGGCTTTATAAGTTTTGATAGCATTTGATAAAGTTTGATAGGGTTTGATAGCGTTTGATAAGTTTTGATAGCATTTGATAGCGTTTGATAGGGTTTGATAGCATTTGATAGTGTTTCATAGTGTGTGATAGCGTTTGATAGGGTTTGATAGTGTTTGATAAGGTTTGATAGCGTTTGATAACTTTTGATAGCATTTGATAGCTTTGACAGGGTTTGATAGCGTGTGATAGGGTTTGATAGGGTTTGATAGGGTTTGATAGCGTGTGATAGGGTTTGATAGGGTTTGATATTGTTTGATAGCATTTGATATTGTGGGATATCATGGGATATCGTGGGATATCGTGGGATATAGTTTGATATCATTTTGTATTGTTTGATATTGTTTGGGAGGGGACAGGAAAGGGGAAGGGGAGCATTTGATAGTGTTTCATAGTGTGTGATAGCGTTTGATAGGGTTTGATAGTGTTTGATAAGGTTTGATAGCGTTTGATAACTTTTGATAGCATTTGATAGCTTTGACAGGGTTTGATAGCGTGTGATAGGGTTTGATAGGGTTTGATAGGGTTTGATAGGGTTTGATATTGTTTGATAGCATTTGATATTGTGGGATATCATGGGATATCGTGGGATATCGTGGGATATAGTTTGATATCATTTTGTATTGTTTGATATTGTTTGGGAGGGGACAGGAAAGGGGAAGGGGAAAAGGGAAAAAGGAAAAGGAAGAGAAAAAGCAAAAGGAAAAGAAAAGATAAAAGAAAAGAGGAAAAGGGAAAAGGGAAACGAGAAAAGGAAAAAGAAAAGGGGAAGGGGAAGAAGGGAGGGGAAAGGAAAAAAGAAAAGAGGAAAAGGAAATGAAAAGGAAAAGGGAAAAAAGAAACAGGAAAAGAAAAGGGAAAGGAAGAAGAACGGGAATGGGAAGGGGAACGGGAACGGGAAGGGGAACGGGAACGGGAACGGGAAGGGGAAGGGGAACGGGCCCAGGAGGGATCGGGCCGGACTCACCTGCGTGGCTCTGAGCCCGTCGGAAATCTGCGGAAAGCAGCGCCAATTACCGGGAATGAGCACTAATGACCGGTGATTAACGCTCATTAACGGAGCTCATTTGCATCCCGCCGGGGGCCGGGTCCCACTCACCGAGCTGCGCCTGGATCTGCTCTGGAACGAGAAAGCGCAGCAGCGGTCAGGGGGACACCTGTGTGACACCTGTGACACCTGTGACACCTGTGTGACAGCTGTGTGACACCTGTGTGACACCTGTGACACCTGTGACACCTGTGACACCTGTGACACCTGTGTGACAGCTGTGTGACACCTGTGTGACACCTGTGTGACAGCTGTGACACCTGTGTGACAGCTGTGTGACACCAGTGACCCCCGTGTGTCACGCGTGTCACCCGTGTGTGTCCCCTGTCCCCGGTGTTCCCGTTCCCGCTGAAGCAGCCCCAGCTCAGCTCCAGGATCCCAAATTCCCCAAATTCCCCAAATTCCCCAAATTCCCCAACCCCCAAATCCCTCAAATTCCCCCAAATCTGAAATTTCCAGAAATTCCTGAAACTCCCCGAATTCCCGGAGTTAAAATCACCAATAATTGGAATGAGGCTAATTAAGAATTCCTGTCTAATAATTAGTCTATGCCTAATCAATCATTAATTACTCTATAACTAATTAGTCTATGTTTAATCAACTGCTAATTAGTCTATGTATAATCAATAATTAGTTAATGTCTAATCAATAATTAATTAGCAGATGTCGAATAAATAATTAATTAGTCTATGTCAGATCAATCATTAATTAGTCTATGACTAATAAATAGTCTATGCCTAACCAATCATTAAATAATTGATGTCTAATAAATCACTAATTAGTCAATGTCTCATAAATAATTAGCCTATGTCTAACCAATCATTAATTAACCAACGTCTAATAAATCGTTAATTAGCCTCGGTCCAAAAAAATCGTTAATTACTCAATGCCTAATCAATGATTAATCAGTCTATGCCCAAACAATCATTAATTAGTCTCTTTCTAATCAACTGTTATTTAGTCTATGTCTAAGCAATCATTAATTAGCTTATGTATAATCATTAATTAGCCTATGCATAATCATTAATTAGTCTCTGTCTAATTAATCATTAATTAAAACCTCACCGAGTCTCGTCTCCATCTCCATTTTCTCTGAGGAGGCAGAAAAGGAAATTGAGGAATTCTGGGATAATGATTAATTAATTTATTAACTATTAAAAGTACTAATTATTAATAAATAATTAATGGTTATTAGTTTGTTATTAGAAAATAAAATTATTTTCGAAGTTAATAATTATTAATGATTATTTTAAAAATTAATTTATTGCTAAAAAATATTAAAAATTAAACATTATTAATGATTATTTAAGTAACTTTAATTATTAGAGAATCTAATTTATTGTTAGAAACTAGTAATTATTATTGAATAATTTGTTGTAATTAATTTATTATTAAAAATGAAGTAATTATAAGAAATGACTCATTATTAATTAATATTTCATTATTATATATTTAATAGGAGAAAAAGAACTTATTTATTAGAAAATAATGATTATTAATTAATTTTTTTATTAATCCATTAATAGAATTTGATAGAAATTTATGATTATAAAGAAATATTTTATTATCATAAATTTATTATTAGAAAATCGAAATAATTGTTAGAGATGAATATTTTATTATTATTAATTGATTACTAGAAAATTCATTTTATTGTTAGAAATTAACAACCATTAATGAATATTTTATTATTATTAATTTTTAAAGAGAAAATAGCAATTATTAATAAAGAAATTATTTTTAAGTATTTTGTTTTAGACAAATTAATTATTGGACATTTAATTAATATTTTAATATTAATATTAATTAATTAATTTTTACCCCTCTGGGATTTTCCCGTCACCTCCTCTGGAAAGAATGGAAAAAAATTCCGAATTATTAATTGGAAATGAATAATTAATTAGTGCCAGAATAATAAAGAATGATTGCTGCTATCAATCAATATGTTGTTATTGTTTTTATTTTTATTTTTATTATTTTTATTATTTTTATTATTTTTATTAATTTTAACTATTCATTATTTAATTGCTTTTTATTATTATTTACTTTTAATTTGTTTTTATATTATCATTAATTACTGCATTATTATTAATGATTACATGATATTTATTATGCAATTATTTCATTATTATTATTTTATTATTGATTAACTATTATATTTTATTTAATATATACTTATTAATTATTATTATTAAAACTTATTACTTAAGTATATAATATAATAAAATTTATATAAATATAATCATATTTAAATATAATAATAATTAATATTATAATTAGATAAAAGAGTAAAATTATTAATAAATATAATAATTAAATGCAACAGGAAAATTATTAATAATAATTAAAATAAACAATAATTAGAATAAAGCTAATAAAGAATTAGAGTCCAATAATTAGCGTCCTTGTTAATTAGTCTATGTCCAATCAATAATTAATTTATCTATGTCTAAACAACTATTGATTTATCTAAGAAATCATTAATTAATCGATGATTAATAAATAATTCTTTCTAATCACTAACTAATTTATCTAAGTCTAATAAATCATTATTTTAATGATTAATCAATGTCTAATATATCATTAATCAATGTCTAATAAAGAGCTAATTAGAGGCTAATATGCCATTAATTAGAGGCTAATATGCCATTAATTAGAGGCTAATAACTCATTAATTAAATGCTAATTCATTATTCATCGGGGCCAACCACTAATGAAAGGCTAATTAATTAATTAATTAGCAGCTAATAATGAGTGAGTGCCGGCTCTTACCCAGCTCCATCCGGAGCTCCTCGGTCTCTGCGGGGATTGGGGGATTTAGGGACGGAATTCCCGGGAATTCCAGAGGAATTTGGGGAATTTGGGGGTGAAAATTCCCGGAACTTGGGGATTTCGGGATGGGACTTTTGGGAACCGCGGGAATTTTGGGATTTAGGGACGGGAATTTTTGGGATTTCAGGAATTGCGGAGCTGAGCTCACCCTCGCTGATTTCCTGATGGGATTTCCCTGGGAACGGGAGAGAAAATGGGATTTTAATTTCGTTTTTATTTAATTATTCATCAATTTTGGACATTTTATTTCATTTAATATTTTATGTCATTAATTTATTTTCTTTTTATTGGGAATTTTAATTAATTAAGATAATTAATAACAATTAAAATTAACATAAAATTAAAATTTCGATTAAAACGAAATTATTTCCAAATATTTTAAGATGAATTTGACATGATTAATGATTAATGATTAATTAAAAAATGAATTAATGCACTCACGCTCCTGAGCCAGGATCCGCTGATCCCCTGGGGAAACACGGAGTGGGAAGAGGTAATTAATGAGCAATTAATGGGTAATTAATGGCTAAAACGTGGGTAATTAATGGGTGAACAACGGGCAATTAATGGGTAATAAATGGGGAATAAATGGGGAAAATATGGGTAATTAATGGGGAATTAATGGGTAATTAAAGGGTATCTAATGGGGAATTAATGCGTAATTAATGGTTAATAAATGGTTAATAAATGGATAATAAAATGGTAGTTTAAGGGTAATAAATGGGGAAAATATGGGGAATTAATGGGGAATTAAAGGGTATCTAATGGGGAATTAATGCGTAATTAATGGTTAATAAATGGTTAATAAATGGATAATAAAATGGTAGTTTAAGGGTAATTAATGGGTGATTAATGAGGGATTAATGGGTAATTAGTGGTTAATGAATGGGTAATTAATTGAAATGGGAAAAGGGAGAAAGGAGAAAAGGAAAAAGGGGGGGAAGGGGAAGAAAAGAGGAAAAAATGGGAAAAATGGAAATGGGGAAAAGAGGAAAAGTGGGGGAAAATGGGAAATAAAAGGGAGGAAAAGGGGAAAAAGGGAGGAAAAAGGGGAAAAATGGGGGAAAAAAGAGGAAAAAGGGGGAAAATTGGGGGGAAAAGTGGGAAATGGGAAAAAGGGGAGAAAGGGAAAAAATTGGGGAAGGAAACAAAAAGAAAAAGGGAAGAAAAAGGGAAATCAAAAAGGGAGAAAAATGGGGAAAATGGGGAAAAAGGGGAAAATGGGGAAAAAGGGGGGAAAAGGGAAATAAAAAGGGGAAAGGGGAAAAAAGGAGGAAAAAGAGGGGGAAAAGGGAAAAGAGAAGGGAGAAAAGGGGGGAAAAGGGAAATAAAAAGGGTGGAAAGGGGGAAAAAAGGAGGAAAAATGGGGACAATTGGGGGAAAATTGAGGAAAAATGGGGAAAATTAGGGGGAAAATGGCGGGAAAAGGGGGAAAATTGGGAGAAAAAAGGAGGGAAAAGGGGGAAAATTGGGAAAAAAGGGAATTTTAAAATATTTTCCTGCTCACAGCGCAGGCGGAGGGCGGCGGCCAGCGCCAGGCACAGAGCGAGGAGGAGGAGCAGGATGAAGGCCGGGAGCCACGGGGACGGCGACGGGAAGAAAACATCTGGGAAAGGAACCCGGGAATTGCGTCAAAAATGGGAATTATGGCAAAAAAACCCCGGGAATTGTGGCAAAAAATGGGAATTGTGGCAAAAAACCCCGAGAAATTCCATTCAAAAATGGGAATTATGGCAAAAAAAACCCTTGGGAATTCTGTCAAAAAATGGAATTATGGCCAAAGCAAAGGGGAATTCCATAAAAAATGGGAATTCTGGCAAAAATGGGAATTCTGGCCAAAAAAACCCCCAGGAATTCAATTAAAAAATGGAAATTATGGCAAAAAAAGGGAATTATGGCAAAAAAAAGGGAATTATGGCAAAAAAAAGGGAGAATTCCATAAAAAATGGGAATTCTGGCAAAAATGGGAATTCTGGCCAAAAAAACCCCCAGGAATTCAATTAAAAAATGGAAATTATGGCAAAAAAAGGGAATTATGGCAAAAAAAAGGGAATTATGGCCAAAACAAAGGGGAATTCCATAAAAAAAATGGGAATTCTGGCAAAAATGGGAATTCTGAAAAAAAACAGGAATTCTGTGAAAAACGGGAAATCTGTCAGAAAATGGTAATCCATAAAAAATGGGAATTATGGATAAAAAAATTGGGAATTCAGTAAAAAACTGGGAGTTAGGTCAAGAAACAGGAATTGCATTAAAAAATGGGAATTTCGTTTAAAAAATAGGAATCCAGTTTAAAAATGGGAATTATGGCCCAAAAAAAGGAAGGAAATTCTGGCAAAAAAACCTGAAATGTTATCAGAAAATGGGAATTCTGTTGAAAAATGGGAATTTCTTCAGAAAATGGGGGAAATTCTGGCAAAAAAACCTGAAATGTTATCAGAAAATGGGAATTCTGGCAAAAAAAAATGGGAATTTCTTCAGAAAATGGGGATCCTGTCCACAAAATGGGAATTCCATTAAAAACGTGAACTAAATTAAAAAGTGGGAATTCTGTCAAAACGGGCATTCTGTCCAAAAATGGGAATTCTGGCAAAAAATGGGAATTTCTTCAGAAAATGGGAATTCCATGAAAAAAAAAACGTGAATTCTGTCCAAAAATCGAAATTCCATCAAAATTTGGGAATTCTGTCCCAAACTGGGAATTTTGTGTCCTTAAATTCCAAATTTCCCATTCTTGAACTGGGAATTCCCCCATTCCCAAACTGGGAATTCCATCCCAAACTGGGAATTTCCCACCCCCAAACTGGGAATTCCATCCCAAACTGGGAATTCCTCCTTTCTCAAACTGGGAATTCCATCCCCAAACTGGGAATTCCATCCCAAACTGGGAATTTCCCACCCCCAAACTGGGAATTCCATCCCAAACTGGAAAATCCTCCATTCCCAATCTGAAATTCATCCCCAAACCGGGAATTCCTTCATTCCCTCCCAAACTGGGAATTCCATCCCAAACTGGGAATTTCCCACCCCCAAACTGGGAATTCCATCCCAAACTGGAAAATCCTCCATTCCCAAACTGGGAATTCCATCCCCAAACTGGGAATTCCTCATTTTTCCATCCCAAACTGACAATTCCATCCCAAACTGGAAATTTCCCATTCCCAAACCGGGAATCCCATCCCGACTCCTCCCCGATCCCACAGAAAACCATCCCGCCCAATTTGGGACCTTCCCGAACCGCAGAAATCCCCGAAAAATCCCAAAAAAAAAACCCCGGACAACCCCATCCAACCCCGGCTTTTCCCATTCCGCGCAGAATTCCCGCTTTCCCGACGCCTCACCGGCGATGAGCACGGCGGACTCGGCGGCCGCTCCCCGGCGCAGGGCGCGGCAGGCGGCGGCGTTGCCGAGCCCCGGCCGGAGCAGCAGCGAGATCCCGGAATTCCCGCCGGGCTCCGGAATTCCCGACCCGTTCCGGCCGCTCCCGGCGCTCCAGAGCACGCGGACATCGGGAAGAGGCTCCGGGAGGCACCGGAGCCGGATCCCGCCCGGTTCCGGCCCCTCCAGGATCAGCAGCGGCTCCCGGAGCTTCCCTGAGGAAAAATCGCCGAGATCCGAGGATTTGGGGTCAATAATGCCAGATTGATTGGGATCAATAATCCCGGGTTGATTGGGATCAATAATCCTGAATTGATTTGGATCAATAATCCAGAATTGGTCGGGGTCAATAATCCCCAATTCACTGAGATCAATAATCTCCAATTGATTTGGGCCAATAAACCTGAATTGATCTGGATCAATAATCCTGAATTGATTTGGATCAATAATCCAGAATTGGTCGGGGTCAATAATCCCCAATTCACTGAGATCAATAATCTCCAATTGATTTGGGTCAATAAACCTGAATTGATCAGGATCAATAATCCTGAATAGACTGGGGTCAACAATCCCCAATTGATTGGGGTCAACAATCCCCAAATGATTTGGATCAATAATTCCCAGCTGATTGGAATAAATAATTCCTTATTGATTGGGGTCAATAATCCCAATAGACTGGGGTCAATAATCCCAGTTGATTGGGATCAATAATCTTGAATTGATTTGGGGTCCATAACCCTGAATTGATTTGGGGTCACTATTCCCAGACTGATTATTGATCCCAAACAATTGATTGGGACCAATACCCTGGGATTGATTGGGATCAACATTCCCAGATTGTTTGGGATCAATATCTTGGGATTCTTCTGCATGAATAGCCCCAAACAGCGCTTTTGGAGATCAATATTCCCAGATTTTTGGTCTTCACTATCCCAGAATTTTTGGCGTTTCCCATTCCCAGAATTTTTGGGATTTCCCATTCCCAGGATTTTTGGGGTTCAACATCCCAGAATTTTTGGGGTTTCCCGTCCCCAGAATTTTTGTGTTTCAATATCCCGGAATTTTAGATTCAATATCCTGGGATTTTTGGGGTTTCCCATTCCCAGAATTTTTGGGGTTTCCCATTCCCAGAATCTTTGGGGTTCAATATCCCGGAATTTTGGGTTCAATATCCTGGGATTTTTGGGGTTCAATATCCCAGGAGTTTTAGGTTCAATATTCCCAAATTTTTTTGTTTCCAGTATTCTGGGACTTTGGGGTTCAATATTCCCAAATTATTTGGGTTCAATATCCCAGAATGGTTTGGGTTCATTATTCCTGAATTTTTGGGGTTTGCCATTCCTGGAATTTTTGGGGTGCAATATCCCAGAATTCTTTTGGATTCATATTCTGGGATCCTTTGGGTTCAAGATTCCCAATTTTTTTGTGTTCAATATCCCGGGATTTTTGGGTTTCCCATTTCCATGATTTTTGGGGTTTCCCATTCCTGGGGTTTTTGGGGTTTCCTGTTCCTGGGATTTTTGGGGTTTCTCATTCTCGGGATTTTTGCGTTTCCCATTCCTGGGGTTTTGGGAGTTTCCCATTCCCGGAATTTTTGGGTTCAATATCCCAGGATTCTTTGGGGTTTCCCATTCCCGGGGTTTTTGGCCTTTCCCATTCCCGGAATTCGGGCTCCCCATTCCCAGGACAGGATAATGGCTCCGTGGGGATTGCGATCCCAAAGTTCTTTTCCCACCTGAGCGATTCCCAATCCCACAGACTCACCTATTATGGGATGGAGCGCGGAGAGCGCCAGGAGCAGCAGCGGGGCCGGGATTCCTGATCCCATTCCTGATCCTATTCCTGATCCCGATCCTAATCCGGATCCTCTTCCTGATCCTGATCCCGACCCTGATCCCGATCCTAATCCTATTCCTGATCCCAACCCACTCCTAATCCTGATCCTGATCCCAGTCCCGATCCCGATCCTGATCCTGATCCCGATCCCGATCCCGGTTCTTGAGCTGATCCCGATCCCGTTCCTGCAGGGAAGGAGAAATTCCAGGGTCAGGGTCTGGAACTGGGGTTGGGGAAAGCGGGAATGGGGTGGGAGAGGGAAAAGGGGGAAAATGGGAAAAACGGGAAAAAGGAAAAGGGGAAAAGGAAACGTTCCTGAAAACCCACCAGGATCCCGAAAATTCCACCGGGATCCAGGGAAATGTTCCCAAAAATCCACGTGGATCCAGAGAAACATTCCTGAAATTCCACTGGGATCCCAAAGATCCTCCGGGATTCACAGAAATATTCCCAAAAACATCCACCATGATCCCATAAATCCACCAGGATCCCAAAAATCGTCTGGGATCTGGGAAAACATTCCCATAAACCCACCAGGATCCAAAAAACCTACCGGGATCAGGAAAAACGTTCCCAAAAATCCCCCAGGATCACAAAAATCCACTGGGATTCTGAAAATCCACCAGGATCCAGGGGAATATTCCTAAAAATCCATGTGGATCCAGGAAAACATTCCCAAAATTTCACTGGGATTCAAGGAAACATTCCCAAAAATCCACCCGGATCTCGAAAATACACTGCGATCCAGGGGAATATTCCCAAAAATCCACTGGGATCCAGGGGAATATTCCCAAAAATTCACTGGGATCCAGGGGAATATTGCCAAAATTCCACCAGGATCCCAAAAATACTGCAGGATCCCAGGAAAGATTCCCAAAAATTCACCAGAATCCACAGAAACTGGGACGGAGGGAAACGTTCCCAAAAATCCTCTGGGATCCAGGAAAATATTCCCAAAAATCCACTGGGATTTGGGGAAATGATCGTGAAAATCCACTGAGATTGAGGGAAATGATCCCAAAAATCCTCCGTGATCCCAAAAATCCTCTGAGATTCCAGAAGCCCTCCGGGATCCGTGGAGATGTTCCCAAAAATCTACTGGAATTCAGGGAAACATTCCCAAAAATCTACAGGGATCCCAAAAATCCACCAGGATCTAGGAAAACTTTCCCACAAATCCACGGGGATCCCAAAAATCCACCGGGATCCACAGAAATGTTCCCAAAAATCCACCGGGATCCAGGGAAATATTCCCAAAATTCCGCTGGGATTGAGGGAAATGATCCCAAAAATCCTCCAGGATCCCAAAAATCCCCCGGGATCCCAAATCCCCTCCGGGATCCCCGCCCGGATCCCAAACCCCACCTGGCTCCGGAGCCGCTCCCGGCTGGAGGCGCCGCCCTGGGAACTTCGGCCCCGGAGACGCCGGAATTCCAAAGGGCACCGGGAACGGGGAGGGCCGGGAGTGGGGATTGGGGGATTGGGGGATTGGGGTTTATGGGATTGAAGTTTGTGGGATTGGGGTTGATGGGATCGGGGGATTGGTGGGATTGGGGTTTATGGGATTGATGGGATTGATGGGATTGGGGGATTGGGGGATTGGGGTTGATGGGATTTGGATTGATGGGATTGATGAGAGGGGAATTGGGGTTTATGGGATTGGGGTTGATGGGATTGATGTGATTTGGGATTGATGGAATTGATGGGATTGATGGGATTGGGGTTTATGGGATTGATGGGATTGGGGTTTATGGGATTGATGGGATTGGGGTTTATGGGATTGATGGGATTGATGGGATTGATGGGATTGGGGTTGATGGGATTGATGGGATTGATGGGATTGATGGGATTGGGGTTTATGGGATTGATGGGATTGGGGTTGATGGGATTGATGGGATTGGGGTTTATGGGATTGATGGGATTGGGAAATGATGGGATTGATGGGATTGGGGTTTATGGGATTGATGGGATTGGGAGATGATGGGATTGATGGGATTGGGAAATGATGGGATTGATGGGATTGGGGTTTATGGGATTGATGGGATTGGGAGATGATGGGATTGATGGGATTGATGGGATTGGGAAATGATGGGATTGATGGGATTGGGAAATGATGGGATTGATGTGTTTTGGGTTTATAGGATTAATGGGATTAGTGAGATTGGGGTTTGTGGGATTGGGATTTGAGGATTTTGGGGTTTATGGGATTGGGGGATTCAGTGGAATTTGAGGAATTTTGGGAATTTTGGTGGCTTTGTCTTAAAAACCCTCCGGGGTTGGGGAAAAGAGGGTCAGGATTTTTTTTTCCCAAGGAATTTTCTTGGATTTTGAGGGAAATTCTGGGATGAGAAAAAGTGGGAATGAAGGAATTTTGGTGTTGCTTCAGTGGGAAAAGTTTGGGATTTTGATCCTCCTGACCCTTAAAAATTCCCTTAAAGATTTTTTAAATTCTCTAAAAAATCCTTAAAAATTCCTTAAAAATTCAATTAAAATTCCCTTTAAATTATTTTTTTAAACCCCTTTTAAATTTCTTTTAAAATTCCTTAAAAATTCCCTTTGAATTCCTGGAAAATTCCTTTAAAAATCCTGCTTAAATTCCTTTAAAAATCCTGCTTAAATTCCTTTAAAATTCCATTAAAATTACTTAAAATTTCCCTTTAAATTCCTTTTTAAATCCTTTAAAAATCCTTTCAGAATCCTTAAAATCCCTGGAACCCCAATCCCACGGGGATCCCAAATCCCTCCGGATTCCCAAATCCAGCGGGAATTTCACATTTCCCATCATTTTCCCACCTTTTTCCCCTTTTCCCGCCTTTTTCTGTCCCTCCCCCACCATTTCCCGTCTCTTTTCCGCTATTTCAATTCCATCATTTCCTACCTTTCCCCTCCCTTTTCCCATTTTCCCTTCTTTTTCCCCCCATTTTTCTCCAAATTTCCCATTTTTCCCCATTTTCCCCATTTTCCTCCAATTTCCCCCCCCATTTTTTCCCCCATTTCCCCACCTGTATTCCCCATTTTCCCCAAATTTCCCACCTTTTTCTTTCCTTTCCCATTTCCCCCCAAAATTCCCATTTCCTCCCCTTTTTATCCCAATTTTCCCCCCAATTTTGCCATCTCTTTTCCTATTTTTCCCATTTTTCCCCTTTTCCCCCGTTTTTCCCTTCCCCCCATTTTCCCGTTTTCTCCAAATTCCCCATTTTCCCCCAAAATTCCCATTTCCCCCATTTTTCCCGTTTTCCCCCATTTTTGCCCCAATTTTCCCACCTTTTTTCCCATTTTCCTCAATTTTCCCTATTTCCCCCCCATTTTTCCCAAAAATTCCAATTTCCCCCCATTTTTTCCCCATTTTTTCCCCATTTTCCCACCCCTCCCCCACCCGCCATCCCCCAAAATTCCCATTTCCCCCATTTTTCCCGTTTTCCCCCATTTGTGCCCCAATTTTACCACCTTTTTTCCCATTTTCCTCAATTTTCCCTATTTCCCCCCCATTTTTCCCAAAAATTCCAATTTCCCCCCATTTTTTCCCCATTTTTTCCCCATTTTCCCACCCCTCCCCCACCCGCCAGACCCAAACGGGTAAAAAAAAGAGGAAGAAAAAAAAAAAAAAAAAAAAGGAAAAAATCAAAAAACCCAGGTAAAAAAAAGAGGAAGGAAAAAAAAAAAAAAAAGAGGCAAAAATCCAAAATCCCGGGAATTTTATTGAATTTGTCATCCCCAGGTGAGCTCAGGTGAGCACAGGTGAGTACAGGTGTGCTCAGGTGTGCCCAGGTGAGCACAGGTGAGCACAGGTGAGTCCGGGTAACCCCAGGTGAGCACAGGTGAGTCCAGGTAACCCCAGGTGAGCACAAGTGTGCCCAGGTGAGCTCAGGGAACCCCAGGTGAGCACAGGTGTGTCCAGGTAATGTCAGGTGAGCCCAGGTGTGCCCAGGTGAGCTCAGGTAACCCGAGGTGTGGCTCCCTGCCCATCCCAGGTGTGCCCATCACCTGTCCAGGTGTGCTGGGCCCATCCCAGGTGTGCCCATCACCTGTCCAGGTGTGCTGGGCCCATCCCAGGTGTGCCCGTCACCTGTCCAGGTGTGCTGGGCCCATCCCAGGTGTGCCCATCACTCTCCAGGTGCTTCCAGCCCCTCCCAGGTGTCTCTATCCCATCTCCAGGTGTTTCCATCTCACTTCAGGTGTTCCCAGCCCATCTCCAAATGTTCCCCTCACCTGCCCAGCTGTCTCTAACCCACGTCCAGGTGTTCCCCTCACCCGTCCAGGTGTCTCTAACCCACGTCCAGGTGTTCCCCTCACCCGTCCAGGTGTCCCCACCTCACAGCTGGGGGATTCAGAGTCACCTGTGGGGCTCACCTGGCCGCTCTCAGCTGAGAGAGCCACGTGGCCACTCCCACTCTCACCTGCGGGGCTCACCTGTCCCCCCTCACCTGTGGGGCTCACCTGACTGCTCTCACCTTCAGCTGTGGGACTCACCTGGCTGCTCCCATCTGCAGAGCTCACCTGTCCCCCCTCACCTGTGGGGCTCACCTGGCTGCTCCAGCTCTCACCAGCAGAGCTCACCTGGCTCCCCTCCTCAGCAGAGCTCACCTGGCCACTCTCACCTGTGGGGCTCACCTGTCCCCCCTCACCTGCAGAGCTCACCTGTCCCCCCTCCCCCGCGCCCCTCACTTGTCCCCGCTGCCCCGCCCAGGCCCCGCCCAGGTACCTGAGCACCTCTCCAGGTGGGCAGCGCCGCGCGGGCTGGGGGTGGAGCAGCCCCCGCAGCAGCGCCAGCCCCGCCCCCCCCAGCCCCCGCCAGGTGCGAGGCGGCCGCGGCAGCGCCTCACCTGCGCAGGTGCGGCCGTGCCACGCCCGGAAGCGGCGGAAGGCGGGGTCGGAGCGCGCAGGTGAGGCCCAGGGGAAGGCGCCGGTGAGCAGCGCGAAGAGCAGCACGCCGAACGCCCAGGTGTCCGCCGCGGGCTCCAGCCGCCGCTGCCGCGCCTCACCTGCCCGCAGGTGCAGCAGCTCAGGTGCGGCGTAAGGGGCGGGGCCGGGGGCGGGGCGCACCTGCCAGCCCTGCACGCGCGTCAGGCCGAAGTCGCCGAGCTTGACCAGGTGACACTCGCGGTCGAAGGCCAGCACGTTGTCCAGCTTCAGGTCGCGGTGCACCAGGGCGTGGCCGTGCAGGTAAGACAGGGCCGAGCACACCTGGGCGGCGCAGCGCTTCACCTGCGGCTCCGGGAGACCCACCTGGGGACGGGGGACACACCTGGGGTCACACCTGGGGACGGGGGACACACCTGGGGTCACACCTGGGGACAGGGGACATACCTGGGGTCACACCTGGGGGCACCTGGGGCACACCTGGGGGCACCTGGGGATGGGGGACACACCTGGGGGTGACACCTGGGGACAGGTAACACACCTGGGGTCACCTGGGAAGGGCAGTGATTCACCTGTGGCTCAGGGAGACCCACCCGGGCATGGGGGACACACCTGGGGCACCTGGGGCACACCTATGGGGTCACTCAGTGTCACCAGGGACAGGGACACACCTGGGGGCACCCAGCAGTCACCCAGCCAGTGCTGTGTCACCTGAGAGGTCACCTGAGCACACCTGTCCTCCCACCCAGGTGCAAAACTGTCCCCTCTTCCCACTCACCTGTCCATCACCTCACACCTGTCCCTCACCTGTCCCACTTACCTGTCCCACTCACCTGTCCCTCACCTGTCCCACCTGTCCCTCACCTGTCCCACCTGTCCCTCACCTGTGACTCACCTGTCCCACCTGTCCCTCACCTGTGACTCACCCCAGGTGTGAGCAGCCCGCACAGGTCCCCGGCAGGTGCGAGCTCCTGGGCGAAGCCGAACTCTGTGGGGGTCTCGAAGGCGAGCGGCAGCACCTGCACGCAGGTGAGTGCCCCCCGCAGGCACAGGTGAGTGCAGAACTCCCGCAGGAAGCCCCACCTGGGCGTGCGCTCCTTGGAGAGCAGCTTCAGAGCCACCTGCGCACCTGCACAGGTAACGGCTGGGTCAGGGAACACACCTGGACAGGGAACACACCTGGACAGGCAACAGCTGGGTCAGGGAACACACCTGGACAGAGAACACACCTGGACAGGCAACAGCTGGGTCAGGGAACACACCTGGACGACTGACACACCTGGGACAGGGACAGACACACCTGGACAGGTAACACAGCTGGGAGAGGGAACACACCTGGATCAGGCACAGACACACCTGGGGACAGGGAACACACTGGGATAGGCACAGACACACCTGGGGGAGGGACAGACACACCTTGGCACACCTGGGCACACCTGGGGGACAATGACCCAGCTGATCCCCAGGTGTGCCAGGTGATCCCAAGTGCACTCAGGTGTCCCCAGCTGTCCCCAGGTATACCCAGGTGGTGCCCTCACCTCCATGCCGGGGCCGTGCCAGCAGCACGCGCCCGTAGGAGCCGCTGCCCAGCTCTCCCAGTACGTCCCAGTCCCGCTCCAGCGCCCGCCGGGGCAGCGCCCGGTCTGTGCGAGCCATCAGCGCCTGCGGGGACCAGTGTGGACCAGTATGGACCGGTACGGACCAGTATGGAACCAGTACGGACCAGTACGGACCAGTATGGAACAAGTACAGACCAGTATGGACCAGTACGGACCGGTATGGACCAGTATGGAACCAGTACGGACCAGTACGGACCAGTATGGACCAGTACGGACCGGTATGGACCAGTGCGGACCAGTATGGACCAGTACGGACCAGTATGGACCAGTATGGACCAGTGCTGACCAGTACGGACCAGCGCGGACCAGTACGGACCAGTACAGACCAGTATAAACCAGTACAAACCTGCAGGAGGCGCTCCTGAGCCTGTGCCACCGACTCCTCATCATCATCATCGTCACCTTCATCATCAGTGGCCTCCAAGGGGACATCCATGATCTGCCACCAATGTAAACCAGTATGAACCAGTATGAACCAGTACAAACCAGTACAGACCAGTACAGACCAGTACAGACCTGCAGGAGGCGCTCCTGAGCCTGCACCAATGACTGCTCATCATCATCATCGTCACCTTCATCATCATCGTCATCAGCGGCCTCTGAGGGAGCATCCATGGCCTGCAGACCAGTATAAACCAGTATGAACCAGTGTAAACCAGCATGAACCAGTATGAACCAGTATGGATCAGCACAGACCAGTACGGATCAGCACAGACCAGTACAGACCAGTAAAGACCAGTACAAACCAGTACAGACCAGTACAGACCAGTAAAGACCAGTATAAACCAGTAGAGACCTGCAGGAGGTGCTGCTGAGCGTGTGTCACAGATTCCTCATCATCATCATCGTCACCTTCATCATCAGCGGCCTCTGAGGGGGCATCCATGGCCTGCAGACCAGTATAAACCAGTATGGACCAGTATGGATCAGTACAAACCAGTACAGAGCAGTACAGACCAGTACAGACCAGTACAGACCAGTACAGACCTGCAGGAGGTGCTCCTGAGCATGTGTCACAGGTTCCTCCTCCTCATCATCATCATCATCACCTTCATCATCATCATCATCATCATCATCACCATCAGCAGCCTCTGAGGGAGCATCCATGGCCTGCAGACCAGTATGAACCAGCACGAACCAGTATGGATCAGTACAGACCAGTACAGACCAGTACAAACCAGTACAAACCTGCAGGAGGCGCTGCTGAGCCTGCGCCACCGACTCCTCATCATCATCATCGTCACCTTCATCCGAGGGGGCGTCCATGGCCTGGACCAGTAGGGACCAGTATGGACCAGTACGGACCAGTATAACAGTGTAAACCAGTATGGACCAGTATGGACCAGTGTGAACCAGTGTAACCAGTATAACCCAGGAGAAACCAGTACAAACTGGTATGGACCAGTATAACCCAGTACAAACCAGTATAACCCGGTACAGACCAGTATAAACCAGTATAACCCAGTCTAACCAGTATAACCCACTATAGACCAGAATAGACCAGTATAGACCAGTGTAACTAGTACAGACCAGTACAAACCAGTACAGACCAGTACAGACCAGTAAAGACCAGTAAAGACCAGTACAAACCAGTACAGACCAGTACAGACCAGTAAAGACCAGTATAAACCAGTAGGTACCAGCATAAACCAGTTCAGACCGATATAGACCAGTAGGAATATCTACAGACCAGTAGAGACCCCTCCCCCTCACCACCTGTTCCCCTCCCCCCTCGTGTCCCCAGGGCCACCTGTCCGAGTGCCACCGGTGTCACCAATGTCCCCGGGGCCACCCGTGCCACCCGCGACACCTGTTCCGTGCCCCCAGTGCCACCGGTGCCCCCAGCGCCACCAGTGCCACCTGTCCCAGTGCCACCGGTGCCCCCAGTGCCACCTGTCCCAGTGCCACCGGCGTGCCCAGGTGGCCCCGGGGGTGGGGGTGGCCCCGAGTGTCCCCAGCTGTCCCCAAGAGGGGCCCAAGCTGTCCCCAAGGGTCCCCCAGCTGTCCCCAAGGGGGGCTCAGGTGGCCCCGAGTGTCCCCCGCTGTCCCCAGGGGGGCCCGGATGGCCCCGAGTGTCCCCAGCTGTCCCCAGGGTGGACCCAGCTGTCCCCAGGGTGCCCCAAGGGTCCCCCAGCTGTCCCCAGGGTGGCCCAGCTGTCCCCAAGAAGGGCCCAGGGGTGGCCCCGAGTGTCCCCAGGGTCCCACAGATGTCACCAGCGTGCCCCAGGGTGCCCCCAGCTGTCCCCGGGGTGTCCCCGCTGTCCCCAAGGGGTCCCAGGGGTGGTGTCCCCCAGCTGTCCCCAAGGGTGCCCCAGGGTGCCCCCAACGTCCCCCCGCTGTCACCAAGGGGGCCCGGATGGCCCCGAGTGTCCCCAAGTGTCGCCGAGGGTGGCCCAGCTGTCCCCAGGGTCCCTCAGCTGTCCCCAGGGGTGGCCCGGGGGGTGCCCCAGCTGTCCCCGGGGTGTCGCAGGTGTCCCACCTGTGTCCGGGCGCTGTGGCTGTCCCCAGGTGTCCCCGCTGTCCCCTGTCCGTGTCCCCCCCGCTGGCCCCGCGGTTGTGACTCAGAGTTTCCCGTGCCCGCGGTGCCACCGCCCCGCCGGGATTGTCACCTGCGCGGCGACAGCGCGGGGACAGCGCGGGGAGAGGGGGGGACACGGGGGGGACAGAGCAGGGGACAGCGCGGGGAGAGGGGGGGACACGGGGGTGACAGAGCAGGGGACAGCGCGGGGAGAGGGGGGGACACGGGGGGGACAGAGCAGGGGACAGCGCGGGGACACGGAGGGGACGGGGAGGGGACAGAGCAGGGACAGTGCGGGGACAGGGGGGGACACTGGGGGGACACCCTCCCAGTTTGTCCCAGTTTGTCCCAGGCCCTCCCAGTTTGTCCCAGTTTCCCCCGCCGTCCCTCCCGCCCCTCCCCCCCGCACCTGTCGCTGTCTCTGCCCTTCCCCGGTAATTAATCCCTGCCGCTAATTAACCCCTGCGGGAGTCCCGCTCATTAATCATTCCTGGTCGTTAATCATCCTGGTCATTAATCATCCCCGCTAATTAACCCCTGCGGGAGTCCCGCTCATTAATCATTCCTGGTCGTTAATCATCCTGGTCATTAATCATCCCCGCTAATTAACCCCTGTAGCAGCCCCGGTCATTAATCCCCTGTCATTAATCATTCCTGCTAATTAACCCCTGCGGCAGCTCAGCCCGCTCATTAATCATCCTGGTCATTAATCATCCCCTGTCATTAATCATCCCTGCTAATTAACCCGTGTAGCAGCCCCTGTCATTAATCATCCCCTGTCGTTAATCATCCCCTGTCATTAATCATCCCCTGTCATTAATCATCCCTGTCATTAATCATCCCCGCTAATTAACCCCTGCGGCATTAGTCCGGTCATTAGTCATCTTGGTCATTAATAATTCATGGTCATTAATAATTTATGCTCATTAATCATTCCCTGGTAATTAATCACTACCCCGTAATTAATCATTCCAAGGTAATAAATTATTCCCGGTAATTAATTACACCCAGTAATTAATAATTCAGCCCAGTCCGTCCCGCCCCTGTCGGGCCGAGCCGCGGCTCATTAACAGCGCCGGTAATTAACGCCCGCCGCTAATTAACCCCCGCCCTGCCGCCACAGACCATCCCCGGTAACTAATCATTCCCTGGTAATTAATCATTCATCTTAGTAATTAATCATTCCTGTAATTAATCATTCCCTGGTAATTAATCATTCATCTTAGTAATTAATCACTCCTGTAATTAATAATTCCCTGGTAATTAATAATCCCCTGGTAATTAGTCATTCATCCTAGTAATTATTCATTCCCTGGTAATTATTCATTCCCTGGTAACTCATAATTGGTCCCGGTCATTAATCATTCCCTGCTCATTAAGAATTCCCTGCTCATTAATAATTGGTCCCGGCCATTAATCATTCCTGCCGGTCATTAATCATTCTTCATGGCAATTAATCACCCCCGGTAATCAATCCCGGCTCATTAATCATTCCTGCCGGTCATTAATCACTCCCCGGTAATCAATCCCGGTAATTAATCACCGCTAATTAGCGCAGCCACAGGTGGCCGGGGGGGGAGGGGCGGCCCCGAATTCCTCCCGGGTCAGAGCGGGGAGCGAGCAGAGCTCCCAGTACGGACCAGTACGGACCAGTATAGACCGGTACGGACCAGTATGGAACCAGTACGGACCAGTATGGACCAGTACAGACCAGTATAGACCGGCACGGACCAGTATGGACCAGTACAGACCAGTATAGACCGGTACGGACCAGTATGGACCGGTACAGACCAGTATGGAACCAGTACGGACCAGTATGAAACCAGTACGAACCAGTATGGACCAGTATAGACCAGTATGGACCAGTACAAACCAGTACGGGCCAGTACAGACCAGTATGGAACCAGTACAAACCAGTATGGACCAGTATAAAACCGTGTGGACCAGTACAGACCAGTGTGGACCAGTACAGTGCTCCCAGTCCATCCCAGTCCCTCCCAGTCCCTCCCAGTCCCTCCCAGTCCCTCCCAGTCCCTCCCAGTCCCTCCCAGTCCCTCCCAGTCCCTCCCAGTCCCTCCCAGTCCCTCCCAGTCCCTCCCAGTCCCTCCCAGTCCCTCCCAGTCCCTCCCAGTCCCTCCCAGTCCCTCCCAGTCCCTCCCAGTCCCTCCCAGTCCCTCCCAGTCCCTCCCAGTCCCTCCCAGTCCCTCCCAGTCCCTCCCAGTCCCTCCCAGTCCCTCCCAGTCCCTCCCAGTCCCTCCCAGTCCCTCCCAGTCCCTCCCAGTCCATCCCAGTCTCTCCCAGTCCCTCCCAGTTCCCTCCCAGTTCCCCCCAGTTCCCCGGCCGTGCCCGCGTGGGGGAGGGGCGCTGGCGCGGGGCCCGGTGGGGGAGGGGCAGGGCCAGGGACAGGTGCGGGGGGCCCGAAATAACCGGGGGGGAGGGGAACTGGGAGGGACTGGGAGGGAACCGGGCCATACTGGGGGATACTGGGGCCAAACTGGGAATCACTGGGGCCATACTGGGGCAATATTGGTGGATACTGGTGCCATACTGGGGGATACTGGGAGTCACTGGGGCCAAACTGGGAGGATACTGGGCCATAATGGGATGGACTGGGGCCATACTGGGAGTCACTGGGGCCGTACTGGGATGGACTGGCCCATACTGGGAATCACTGGGGCCGTACTGGGACGGACTGGGGCCATACTGGGATGGACTGGGCCATACTGGGAATCACTGGGGCCGTACTGGGAGATAAAACTGCCCAGCCCCCACTCCCATTAACCCCCTCCCCGTTTGGCCCCGCCCCCTTCTTTGGCCCCGCCCCTCCCGGAAGCACGAACCGCACTGGAGGGGAGGGGCGCCTTTATTGACACTGGCGGGGGGGGGGGGGGGGGAGGGCCCCCCCCGGGGGGGATGGAGCCGCCCGGGTGGGCTCCCCGCCGGTCCCGGGGAACCGCGGTGGATTAAGGCAGCAGGTGAGAGGTGGAAGGGCACCAGCGGTGAGTGTGAGGCAGAGCTGCGGCTGCGGGCACAGGTGTGCACGGGGTCCCCTGGGCCAGGAGCACCTGGGGGGTTCCAGGTGGGCACTGGGCACCTTCAAGGCGTGTCCAGGTGGGCACCAGGCACCTCCAGGTGGGCACTGGTCACCTGTGTGGTCTCCACGTGGGCACTGGGCCCCTCTGACAGGTGGGCACTGGGCACCTCTCACCTGTGTGGTCTCCACGTGGGCACTGGGCCCCTCTGACATGTCCAGGTGGGCACTGGGCACCTCCTAGGGGGGCTCCAGGTGCACCTCTGTGGGCTCCAGGTGGGCACCGGGCACCTCCAGGTGGGCACCGGTCATCGCCAAGGTGTCCAGGTGGGCACCGGGCACCTCCTCAGGGGTCTCCAGGTGGTCAGAGGGCACCCCTGAAGTCTCCAGGTGGGCACTGGCCAGTTCTGACGTATCCAGGTGGGCATCGGTCACCTCTGAGGTGTCCAGGTGAGCACTGGTCATCTCACTGGTCTGCAGGTGGGCACTGGTCATCTCCGTGGTCTCCAGGTGGGCAGTGGTCACCTCTGAGGTGTCCAGGTGGACACTGTGCAGCTCTGTGGCCTCCAGATGGACGTGGACATTGGTCACCTCCTCCGTGGGTTCCAGGTGGGCATCGGGCACCTCTGACCTGTCCAGATGGGCATCAGTCACCTCTATGGGTTCCAGGTGGGCATCAGTCACCTCTATGGGTTCCAGGTGGGCATTGGGCACCTCTATGGGTTCCAGGTGGACACTGGGCAGTTCTGAGGTCTTCAGGTGGACATCAATCACCTCTGAGGTCTCCAGGTGGACACTGGTCACCTCTGACGTGTCCAGGTGGGCATTGGGCACCTCTATGGGTTCCAGGTGGACACTGGGCAGTTCTGAGGTGTCCAGGTGGGCAGTGGTCACCTCTGTGGTCTCCAAGTGGACACCGGGCAGTTCTGAGGTCTCCAGGTGGACATCGGTCACCTCTGAGGTGTCCAGCTGCTCATTGGTCACCTCTGAGGTTTTCAGGTGAGCACTGGACAGCTCTGAGGTGTCCAGGTGGACACTGGTCACTTCTGAGGTGTCCAGGTGGACATCGGTCACCTGTGCGGTCTCCAAGTGGACACTGGCCACCTCAGTCTCCAGGTGGACACTGAGCACCTCTGACATGTCCAGGTGGGCACTTGGCACCTCTGAGATCTCCAGGTGGACATCGGTCACCTCCACGGTCTCCAGGTGGACACTGGGCACCTCAGCGGCCTGGAGCTGGACATTGGTCACCTCAGGTGGTGCTGGCAGCACCTGGAGCTGGACGTTGGTGACACCTGAGGTCAGCGGCAGGGCCTGGAGCTGGACGTTGGTGACCTCACCTGCCTGGAGCTGGACACCTGTGCCACCTGAAGGTGGTGGCAGCACCTGGAGCTGCACGTTGGTGACCTCACCTGCCTGGAGCTGGACACCTGTGCCACCTGAAGGTGGTGGCAGCACCTGGAGCTGCATGTTGGTGACCTCAGGTAGCGATGGCAACACCTGGAGCTGGACATTGCTCACCTCACCTGCCTGCAGCTGGACACTGGTGACCTCAGGTGGTGCTGGCAGCACCTGGAGCTGGACATTGGTCACCTCCGAGGGTACAGGGAGCACCTGGATCCGCACCCCTGTCACACCTGCACCTGTCACACCTGCTCCTGCCACACCTGCTCCTGCCACACCTACACCTGTCACACCAGTCACACCTACACCTGTGACCCCTGACAGACCTGTCATACCGGTCACACCTGCACTTGTCACACCTGCCACACCTGTCAGCTCCCCGCCTTGCACCTGGACATTGGTGACCTCTGGGGCCACCGGCAGCACCTGGAGCTGGACACCTGCCACACCTGTGACCCCTGTAACACCTACACCTGTCACACCTGTGACACCCACACCAGTCACACCTGTGAGCCCTGTGACACCCGCACCTGTTGCACCTGTCACACCTCCACTTGTAACACCTGCCACCCCTACACCTGTCACACCTGTTATAGCTGTCACACCCGTCACACCTGCACCTGTCACACCTGTTATACCTGTCACACCCGTCACACCTGCACCTGTCACGCCTGTCACACCCGTCACACCTGTCACACCTGCACCTGTCACACCTGCCACACTTGCTATACCTGTCCTGTCACACCCACCACACCTGCCACACCTGTTATACCTGCCACACCTGCACCTGTCACACCTGTCACACCCACACCTGCCACACCTGTTATACCTGTCACACCCGTCACACCTGTCACCCCTGCCACCTCAGCCACCTGCAGCTGCAGCCCCGCTGCCACCCCCTCCTGCCCGGCGCCAGGTACGAGCAGGACGCTCTGCCAGGCGCGCTGCCCCTTGCCCACCTGCGCCAGGTGCGGCCGGGCGGGGCCGGGCAGCAGCAGCACCTTGCGGGGGGAGGCGACGCCAGGGACGGGCAGCAGCAGGTAAGCGGCGGAGGCGGGGGGCGGCGGCGCAGGTGCGGCACCGCCAGGTGCGCGGCGTGGGGCGGGGCCGTGCGTGCGCAGGTGCCGCTGCAGGTAGGCGGCCATGACGAAAGCCTTGGGACAAGCGGGGCAGCGGAAGGGCCGCGCCGCTGAGTGCGTGCGCCGGTGCAGGTGCAGGTTGGACGAGTGCGTGAAGCTCTTGCCGCAGGTGCCGCAGGTGTACGGCCGCTCGCCCGTGGTTCTTGAAGCTCTTGCCGCAGGTGAGGCAGCGGTGGGGCGGGACCGCGGGCGGGGCCGCCGTCGCCGTCACCTCTTGCTCGGCGCAGGTGAGCCCCGGCGGCCTCCAGAGCGGCTCAGGTGAGGCGGCGGCGGGCGGGGCGGGGCCCTGCAGGTGAGGCTGCAGGCAGGTGTGCGAGGCCAAGGGCGCGGCGCAGGCGGGGCACTGCGGGGCGGGGCCGTGCGTGCGCCGGTGCAGGTGCAGGTTGGACGAGTGCGTGAAGCTCTTGCCGCAGGTGCCGCAGGTGTACGGCCGCTCGCCCGTGTGCACCCGCAGGTGCTGCCGCAGGTTGGTGGCCTGGGCGAAGCCCTTGCCGCAGGTGCCGCAGGTGTGCGGGCGCTCACCCGTGTGGGTGTGGCGATGGCGCCGCAGGCTGGAGGAGTTCTTGAAGGCCTTGGGGCAGGTGGGGCAGCGGTAGGGCCGCTCACCTGAGTGCTGCCGCAGGTGGTACTGGTAGTGCGACGCCCACTTGAAGGTGAGGCCGCACTGGGCGCACCTGAAGGCGCGCAGCCCCGTGTGCACGCGCAGGTGAGTCTGCAGCAGCGAGGAGCGCTTGAAGCTCTTGCCGCAGGTGGCGCAGGTGTAGGGGCGCTCACCCGTGTGGTCGCGCAGGTGGTAGCGCAGCCCCGAGGAGCCCTTGAAGGCCTTGCCGCACTCACCGCACCTGTACGGCCGCTCGGGCGGGGCTGGCGGCTCGGCAGCGGCCGCAGGTTCACCTGGCGTGGGCGCGGCCGGGTGGGGCGGGGCTCTGGGGGCCGCGGCGCACCTGGGCCGCTCGTGGCCGGGCAGGTGTCGCGCCAGCCCCGAGCCGTTCTTGAAGCTCTTGCCGCAGGTGGCGCAGGTGTAGGGGCGCTCACCTGTGTGGCCCCTCAGGTGGTAGAGGAGGGCGGAGGAGCCCTTGAAGGCCTTGGGGCACTCGGGGCACTTGTAGGGGCGCTCACCTGTGTGGCTGCGCAGGTGATGCGCCAGGCGCGAGGACCAGCGGAAGGATTTGCCGCACTCCCGGCAGGTGAAGGGCTGCTCGGGGGCACCTGCGGGGGGCGCCGCGCCCTCCATGGCCGCACCTGGGGAGACACGGCCGCAGGTGAGAGCCTCACCTGGGACAGGTGAGAGCACAGACCTGGGACAGGTGAGAGCCCAGACAGGGGACAGGTGAGAGCCCAGATATTAAACATGGGGACAGGTGAGAGCCTGCACCTGACACAGGTGACAGCCTCACCTCAGGCAGGTGAGAGCCCAGGCCTGGGACAGGTGAGAGCCTGCACCTCACACAGGTGAGAGCCCAGGCTTGACACAGGTGAGAGCCCAGACCGGGCACAGGTGAGAGCACAAATGTGGGACAGGTGAGAGCACAGGCCTGGGAGAGGTGAGACCCTGAACCTGACATAGGTGGGACCCCAGACATGGAACATGGGGGACAGGTGAGAGCCCAGCAGGCTCAGCCCTGGGGGAGCAGGTGAGACCCCCAGACCAAGGGGACACAGGCACAGGTGAGAGCCCAGAGCTGGGACAAGTGAGAGCTTGCACCTGACTCAGGTGAGAACCCAGATCCAAAACACGGGGACAGGTGAGAGCCCACACCTGACACAGCTCAGAACCCAGACCTGACACAGGTGAGAGCCTGCACCTGACACAGGTGAGAGCACAGACCTGACACAGGTGAGAGCCTGCACCTGACACAGGTGAGAGCACAGACCTGACACAGGTGAGAGCCTGCACCTGACACAGGTGAGAGCACAGACCTGACACAGGTGAGAACACAGACCTGACACAGGTGAGAACCCAGATCCAAAACACGGGGACAGGTGAGAGCCCACACCTGACACAGCTCAGAACCCAGACCTGACACAGGTGAGAGCCTGCACCTGACACAGGTGAGAGCACAGACCTGACACAGGTGAGAGCCTGCACCTGACACAGGTGAGAGCGCAGACCTGACACAGCTCAGAACCCAGACCTGACACAGGTGAGAGCCTGCACCTGAGACAGGTGAGAGCGCAGACCTAAGACAAGGACAGGTGAGAGCCCAGACATGAAACATGGCGGACAGGTGAGAGTCCAGACCCAGCCCAGGTGGGCAGGTGAGAGTCCGGATGTAAGACACAGGCACAGGTGAGACCCCAAACCCGACACGGGGGGACAGGTGAGACCCCAGACCCAGCACAGGTGGGCAGGTGAGACCCCAACCCCAACGGGGGACATGGCCAAACAGGGGGCGTGACTAAGCCGCAGTAAGCCCCGCCCCTCCCTGTAGGCCCCGCCCCGCCCCTTCCCCTCAGCCCCTGCAGGCCCCGCCTCGTCCAGGCCCGCCCCGCGCAGGCGCCGCCGCCGCGGCCCCGCCGCTTCCTCCTCCTCTTCCTCCTCCTCCTGCCCCGCTCCCCGCTCACCTGCGGGGCTCGCGGGGGCTCCGCCGGGGCCGGAGCCGGGCCAGGACCGGGGTAGAACCGGGCCAGAACCGGGCCCGGCGCCGCCGCCGCCGCGCAACGCCCGGGCCGCGCCGCCTCACGAGGCCACGCCCCCTCCGCCTCACGAGGCCACGCCCTCTCCGCCTTCCCGCCTTCGCCGCCGCCAATCAGGCCGCGCCTCATTGGGCCAGGCCACGCCCCTCCCCCCGGAAACGCGCGCGGTGCACGCTGGGTAATGTAGTCCCGAGCCCCGTTCCAGCGGCTCTTACTGGGTTTTACTGGTCTGTACTGGTCTTACTGGTTTATACTGGCTTGTACCTGTTTATAGTGGTCTGTACTGGTCTGTACCGATTTTTATAGATTTTCCTGGTTTGTACTGGTTTATACTGTTCCATACTGGTCTGTACTGGTCTATACTGGTTTATATTGGTCCATACTGGTTTTTACTGGGTTTTATTGAGTTTTTACTGGTTTTTACTGGTCTGCACTGGTCCATACTGGTTTATACTGGTCTGCACTGGTTTTTATTGAGTTTTATTTGTTTATATGGGTTTATACTGGTCCATACTGGTTCATACTGATCCGTACTGGTCCAATCCGGTCTGTACTGGTCCAATCTGGTCTGTACTGCTCCGTACTGATCCATACTGGTTTATACTGGTCCATACTGGTTTATACTGGTTTTTACTGAGTTTTTATTGGTTTATATGGGTTTATACCAGTCCGTACTGGTCCATACCAGTCCATACTGGTTTATACTGGTCCGTACTGCTCTATACTGGTTTGTGCTGGTTTATACTGGTCTGTACTGGTTTTTATTGAGTTTTTATGGGTTTATTTGGGTTTATACCGGTCCATACCAGTCCATGCTGGTCCATATTGGTTTTTACTGGTCCATACTGGTCTATACTGGTTTTTATTGAGTTTTACTTGTTTATATGGGTTTATACTGATCCGTACCGGTCCATACTGGTCCGTACTGGTCCATACTGGTCCATACTGGTCTCGGGGGGTCCTGGGGAGATTTGGGGTCACCTGAGGCGTTTTGGGGGGATTTGGGGGTTTTTGGGGTGACCCGAGAGGGTTTTGGGGGAAGTTTTTGGGGTTTTTGGGCTCCCCCGAGCCATTTTGGGGGGGGGATTTTGGTGATTTTGGGGTCTTCTGAGCCGTTTTGGGCGTGATTTGGGGGTTTTTGGGGTCACCTGAGCCATTTTGGGGGGGATTTTGGGGACCCCCGAGCCATTTTTCAGGTGAGAGACAGTTGAGACAGGTGAGAGAGACACCGGTGAAACACAGATGAGAGACAGGTGACACAGATGAGGCAGGTGACACAGGTGAGACAGGTGAGAGACAGGTGAGTGACAGGTGAGAGGAGTGAGGCAGGTGAGGGATGGGCAGCACAGGTGAGGGCAGGAGATCACAGCTGAGCACAGGTGGGACAGGTGAGATCCAGGAGCGACAAATGAAGGACAGGTGAAAGACAGACAGGTGAGCCCCTCTGCCCCCCCCCCCCCCCCCCCCCCCCCGCCCAGGTGCGCGCTCACCTGGCAGCTCGGCGCAGGCGATGGCGGCGGCTGCACCTGAGGCGCAGGTAGCGGGGCGGAGCCCGGGGCACTCGAGCAGCAGCTCCTCGGAGCCCCGGCAGGTGAGCTCGGCCAGGTAGGGCTGGCCCGGCAGGCGCGGCCCCACAGGTGCGCTGAGGGCGGGGCCGCAGCCCAGCTGCCGGCACAGCACCTGCGCCTCGGGCAGCGCCCAGGTGAGGCCGCACACCTGCAGCCAGGTGCGGTTCAGCAGCACCTGCACCTGTCCTGCGCAGGGCCCGGCCCCGCCCTGCAGCCGCACCTGGGCGGGCTCGGCACCTGCGGGGGACGGGTGAGGGTGAGGCACGGCCGGGGGCACCTGGGCACACCTGAGAGCACCTGGGCACAGCTGAGAGCCCGGTGCTCACCTGAGCATACCTGAGCACACCTGTGTTACCTGAACTCACCTGAGCACACCTGTGCCTACCTGTGCCTATCTCGGCCCACCTGAGCCTCACCTGCCCCACCTGATCTCACCTGACTGTCACCTGAGCACACCTAAGCACACCTGAGCTCATCTGTCATCACCTGTCATCACCTGAGCTCGCCTGAACCCACCTGAGCACAGCTGAGCTCACCTGCACTCACCTGAGCCCACCTGATCCCACCTGAACCCACCTGTGCCCACCTGAGCTCACCTGTCCTCACCTGACCCCACCTGAGCTCACCTGAGTCCACTTGAACCCCACCTGGCCCACCTGTGGCTTACCTGTCCCATGTGTCATTACCTGAGCCCACCTGTCCCTCACCTGCCCCTCACCTGTCTCACCTGAGCTCGTCTGCCCTACGTGAACCCACCTGAGCTCACCTGAACCCACCTGAGCCCCACCTGCCCTCACCTGTCTCACCTGAGCTCACCTGAACCCACCTGAGCTCACCTGAACCCACCTGAGCCCCACCTGAGCCCCACCTGCCCCACCTTGCTCACCTCCCCCCCCCGCCCCCC